TATTCTGATGCTTTAGGATGGAATGTTCTGAGTGTGTCTGTTAAGTCCATCTGATCCAGTGTGTCATTCAGAGCTGTTGTTACCTTGTTGGTTTTCTGCTTAGATGTTCTGTCCATTGGTGTATGTGGAATAGTAAAATCTCCAACATTTATGCTATTGTTATTAGTAAGTTGGCTTATGCTTATGATTGATTTATATATTAGGGTACTTCTAAGTTGGGAGCATAAATATTTACAGTTCTTAGCTCTTCTTGATGGATAGACACCTTAATTATGATATCATGCCCTTCTTCATCTCTTGTTACAGTCTTTGTTTTAAAGTCTGGTTTGTCTGATATAAGTATGGATACTCCAGCTTTCTTTTGACATCCATTAGCCTGGTAGATGGTTCTCCGTCCCCTCACTTTCACTCTGCAGGTGTCCTACACGGTCCTCAGTCTCTTATAGGCAGGATATACGATGGGTCTTTTTTTTTTTTTTAATCCATTCTGATATCCTGTATCTTTTGATTGGGTCACTTAGTGTGTTTACATTCAGTTATTATTGAATGATATGAATTTAGGGCCATTGTATTATCTGTAGATTTCATATTTGTGGTGATGTCCTCTGGTCCTTTGTAGTCTTTGCTGCTTTCCACTCACAGAGTCCCCCTTAGGATCTCTTGCAGGGCTGGTTTAGTGGTCACAAACTCCTTCAGTTTTTGTTTGTCTGGGAAAGTCTTTATTTCTCCTTCTATTCTGAATGACAGCCTTGCTGGAGAAAGGATTCTTGGCTGCATATTTTTCCTATTCAGCGCATGGAATATTTCCTGCCACTCCCTTCTGGCCTGGCAAGTTTCAGTGGGCAGGTCTGCTACTACCCTTGTGTGTCTATCCTTGTAGGTTAAGGACGTTTTGTCCCTAGCTGTTTCCAGAATTCTCTTCATCTTTGTATTTTGCCAGTTTCACTATGGTATGTCGTGCTGTTGACCTGTTTTTGTTGATTTTGAAGGGAGTTCTCTGTGCCTCTTGGACTCAGATGCCTATTTCCTTCCCCACATGAGGAAGTTCTCTGCTATAATTTTTCAAATAAATCATCTGCACTTTTTCTTGCTTGTCGTCTTCTGGAACTCCTTTGATACACAGATAGTGTTTCATTTCATGTCTAATCTCCATTAGCTAATAATTTCCTTTTCCTCTTTTTTTCAGCTTCATTATTTTCCATAATTTTATCTTCTGTTTCACCTATTCTCTTATCTGCTTCTTCAGTCTTGCCACTGTACCTAGTTTATTTTGCATTTCAGTTATAACATTTTTTTAATTCATTGTGACTAGTTCTTAGGTCTTTGATCTCTGCAGCAAGGGTTTCTCTGTTGTCCTCTATGCTTTTTTCAAACCCAGCTGTTAGTATTAAGACTGTTATTCTAAATTCTTGTTTGTATATATTGTTTATATCTGTTTTGTGCAATTCTCTGGCTGTGATTTCTTCTTGACTTTTCTTTTGGGGAGAATTCCATCATCATGTCATTTTGGCTAAGTTTCCTCCATCTTGTCTTTTGCATATTAAAAAAAATTGTTTTTAATGTTTATTCACTTTTTTGACAGAGAGAGAGCAGATGGGGTAGGGGCAGAAAGAGAGGGAGACACAGAATCCGAAGCAGGCTCTAGGCTCTGAGCTGTCACCACAGACTCCGACGCGGGGCTCGAACCCACAAACCATGAGATCATGACCTGGGCTGAAGCCAGACGCTTAGCCAGCTGAGGCACCCAGGTGCCCCATCTTTTGTGTGTTTTAAAAGCTTGTTAGATGTCCTGCATCTAAGAGTACTACTATATTAAAACGGGGTCATACCCTGTTCGGGACCTGGCGCTCCAGGAAGTGTTTCTGCTGTATGTTGCGTGTACTCTGTTGATATGTTTGGGTACTCTGTCCCACTGGTCAGTCCTCTGGAGAGCTCCTCCTTACTTGTAGTGGTGGAGCGTTTGGACCTTTAACTAGGTGTGCTTTGATTTGTTTGTTGAAGTAACCCTGGGCAAAAAAAAAGGCAGGAGGTGGGGAAGCCTCGATCCTGCTAAGCTGTCTCCTCCACCTGTGGAGAACTTTCTGCCACTCCTCAGATCGATTTCCTGGGTGTTGCAAGTGATCTGAACTCAGTACAGCTATGTTTGAGGGATGAATCCCTCTACTTCTCCGCCATCTTAACTCCCCGCTCCTGGGATGTAATTTTTTACTCTGTTAACATTCTCTTCCTTACAAACACAGATGGGTGGCAAAGGATAAATATAACTGAGAGTAAGAAGCCATTTGCATCCAAATGAGATTAATAATTTCATGATTGCTCAGCATCATCCAGGGTTCAGTACTGCTTTTCTGACCCTTCTTTCTGAGTAGCAAGTAAATTCCATAAATCTCAGGAGTTCTTCCTCAGATGATGGCTCTTATTCTCAGTTGAGCCTGCTCTATTTTCATGGCAGACTAATTCTGCTCTGGTGCCCCCTATCCCAGATCCACTCAGTTTTCTAAAGCCCCTGTCCCTTTCTTTCTTGTATATATACCACATATTTATTTTTATTTTATTGCCAAGCAAACAAGTTGAGTCTGTTTTTTTTTTTTTTTAATTTTTGTTTTAATGTTTATTTTTGAGAGAGAGAGAGAGTGTGTGAGCAAGTGTGAGTGGGGGAGGGCAGAGAGAGAGGGAGACACAGAACCTGAAGCAGGCTCTAGGCTCTGACCTGTCAGCACAGAGCCCAATGCAGGGCTTGAACCCACAAACAATGAGATTTTGTCCTGAGCTAAAGTCAGACACTTAACCGACTGAGCCACCCAGGCGCCCGTTTTGTTTGTTTTTTGTTTTTTTAACATCAGTAATGAATACATATCTTTCTACTTGCCTGTATAAAATGAGAGCTTTAGTTTTACTTTTTTCCTTTCCTGTTTCTAAGTTTTTGTGATACAGTCTGGATGTTTTACGTTTCCATTTTTATCTCACTACCCATAATTTCTGTTTTGTTATATGATCTGTCTTTAGTACCTCTGTGACTCTCCCAGCCTCTCCCTCACTCCATGTAGCCATAATGACCTTTTGCTTTGCTTTGAGCACACCTAGCATGCTCCTTTATCAGTCCTTTGTATTTGTTGTTCTGTCTGCCTGAAATGCTTTCCCCTTCCCGAAGATATTCATGTGGTTTGTACTCTCACTTTCTAAAAAGTCTTTTCTCAAAAGTCACATTCTAGGACCTTCCCTGATCCCCACCCCCCCACTAAAGATACAATCCAAACCCCATGAAATTCCCCTATTCTCTTCCCTACTTGATTTTTTTTTCACAGAACTATGACTAATACATTATTTTATGTATTAACTGATTGTCTATTTCTTCTTATTAGAATATGACATTCATGAAGGCAGGAATCCATTTCATTTGCTGTTTTATTCACAGTGCCCAGAATAATCTGGCACATACCTTCTTTGAGTTGGGACTATCTGGCCAAAGGATGAGTTTCTAATAGCTCTTGGTACTTTTTGCCATGTAATTTTCTTTTTTGTTTGCCGTCTTTCTTATTTATTTGTACCAGATAGTACTTTTTTGTGGTTTAATGAAAATTCAAACAGTATATGAGGAAGTTATTCACTATAATACACTTTTGTATTCAAGCACCTCATTCCTCTCCTCAGAGCAACTAGCTTTGTCAGTTTCTTGACCCTCCTTGTGGAGATACTCCCATGGAGCTTCCTAAAAAGAGTTGACGCCAGGTTACACCAAAGGACAGAATATTTTACAGTTCTGTCCATCCAGAACAGTTCCCGTTTCCCTGTCTGCTTCCCAGCCCTCCTCAATAGCCAGTGTCACCCATTTCTTAGAGAATGTTACTATCATGCTAACTGCTAAGAGAGCGAGATAATAAAATATTATTTTGTCCATGCTCCAGAAGTTAAAAATGTGGGTGGGATGGGAAAGTATCCACACTTAAAAAGTAATAGAGGGTTGGGGTGCCTCGTTGGCTCAGTCAGTGAAGTGTGCAACTCCTGATCTTGGGATTCTGAGTTTGAGCCCCATGCTGGGTGTAGAGATTACTTAAAAGTAAAATCTTAACAAAAAAAGTAACGGGGTTTAAAAAGATCAAGATGATACACAAGAAATGTCACAAAACATTGAATAATTGTTGAATGAGGTAAGATAACAAATACCATCAAAGCATCAGTTTAATTTAAGAAGGAAAACTTTACAGAATAAAGAAGTATCAAATTCACTGGGGATTCGGAGAGCATAGGCATTTGGGGAAATAAATTTTTTTTTTTTAATGTTCATTTATTGATTTTGAGAGAGAGAGAGGGGGAAAGCACACATGTATGCACGCAGGAGGGGCAGAGGGGGAGAGAAAGAGAATCTTAAGCAGGCTTCACACTCAGGGCAGAGCCTGACTCAGGTCTCAGTCTCATGAACCGTGAGATCATGACCTGAGCGAAAATCGTTAGATGGTTAACCAACTGAGCCACCCAGGCACCCTGGAAATGAAAATTTTTATAGAGAATTCCTATTCAAGATGGAGCTTGAAGGATAAACAGGATTTTTAATAAGCACAAAGAATAACATGGTGGAAAACTCTAGTAAGAGGTTGGCAAACCACATGCCCATTTGTTTACGTATTATCTCTGCTTTCATGCTATAGTGGTAGAGTTGAGCAGTGGAGACAGATCATATAGTCTGCAAAGCCTAAAATATTTACCATCTGGTCCTTCAGAGAAAGATCTGCCAGTAAATGATATGATGTAGGTGGGAAAGCATTATTGCTAACAGTTAAAGGAATGTTAAACAGTTAAAGGAACAGGATGTTGACTATAGTTGGTAGGGGGGTCAGTAATAGGAGGGTGGGTGGTTAGAGAGAAGGTTAGCTTTGAAGGAATGCAATAAGAAAACTGTTGCTAATAGGAGGTGAGGAGCCATTCCAGGCTGGTACAGCAGTTCAATAAGGCACGAATGTGGCTTCTCCTTCATCATGCTTTTCTAATCTTTCCCTTACTAGCCAAGAAGGACCAGGAAGGTGGAGAAGAAAAGAAATCTGTGCAAAAGAAAAAAGTAAAAGAGTTAAAGGTGTTGGATTCAAAGACAGCCCAGAATCTCTGTGAGTAACTCTGTGTTCCCAACTATTTGAAATGTGAGGGGGTTCTTCTGAAATCTTAATTTTGGTGAATCCAAGTCCCTTGATTTGTGGAGCTCCTTATGTAGCCAAGCATTGTAAGAACTTCCAGCATCTTGTTTAATTCCTCAGTAGACCTACAGGATTGTTAGCATCTAGTTTTATGGCAAGGAAACAGAGGTTAAGGCTTTTAGGAATTTGCCTAGTCCAGTAGGTAGTTAGAGACAGGTCTGAGATTTGAACTTCAGATTTTTTTATTTCAAAGCCTTTACTATTTACATTGCTTCCACAGAAAATCTACCACAAATATTCTAGCTATTGTGCATTTCCTTCTTTTTAACTTCAAGAACTTCCTTTAAATGCAGCACTGGTTTGATTGCATTTAAATCTAAAATAACTTTGTGGTGTAGAACAAATAATGTAAACCCTGTACTTCTCAAAGTAGGATCAGAAACTTTTCCCCCAAGTTGATCCAGGTAGTACTTATTTGATGATCAGGATGAATGTTTATTTTGTTGTTGTTGTTTGGTTGTGGATCCCTGGTAATGCTGAGTAGTTAAAGATTTAAATGTTTGTTCATATAAATATTTGAGGTTCTGCCATGTTGCAGTCTCGATTAGGCACATACTACACACGTGTTTCAGAGATGAAAGGGTATCTATTCCATAAAACCCACTCACAGTCTTGCATTGTGGCTGTTGTCCTCATTTTTCCAAATGAGAAGATCAAAGTTTAGATGTTGTGACTTGGCCAAGATCACACAAGTAAATGAATACACATACCTGTAAGTAAAGTCAGTGATAGAATGAAAACAGTACAGCTTTCACATCATTCTTTGCTGTGTAGACCTAGATCAATGACAGCAAATATTACTAAATATTATCTGTGGGTAAGTCCTTTTATGGAAACTAATGTGAGATAATTCCTCTTCCCAAGATGATCTCTGTGACCAGAAAACTAGAATAACTCTTATTTTAGAAAATGATACGACCGTGGAGTAGGACATTGTTATTTCCAGTTGAGTGATACTGATGTGGAAAACAGAACTCAGAGAATTGAGATTAGTTTCTGGAAGGATGGTCTAGGAGATATAATTTAGTGATTCAGAAATTACTAAGTGCCTCTTATGTGCTAGGGACACTAAGCTGAGTAAGGTACAGTCCCTGTCCTCAGGAAGCATGCATCTGGTAGAGACAGAAGAGTAAATAATGGTAACAACACAGACTGATGAGTGCTCTGATGGGGGTGTGCTAGGATGTGTATGAGAGCACCGGGAAAGGGGCATCTAAATTAACTGGGGGGAGTACTGGAAGGAGCACATCCTAGATGTCATTCGAGAGGAGGTCCTGCTTAACTGAGCTAAAAGAAGTATCAGTCATGAGTGAAGTGAAGAGTGTGGGCTGCCTTGTTTCCAGCAGAGAGATCTGCATGTGTGAAGGCACAGAAGCACGAGGTAACACTGTGCAGTTGGAAAACTGCAAGTAGTTGAGTACAGCTGAGTAAAGACTATGCAGGTGAGTGGTGGCAGAAGCAGCTTTCAAGAAAGAGAAAGAAGCCAGATCATGAAGAATCCTGACAGGCCTAGGCTAAAAAGTATCTATTTTATCCTGAGAGCTTTGGAATTTATTGAATGGATGTTAATCAGGAAAATGAGTGATATGGTCCTGTGTAATTTGGGGAGAAGCTACTTCAGCAGTGACTTTGAGGCTGGATTGCTGGGGTACAGGAAGACTGTAGGCAGAGAGATGAGTTATGTTCTCGCTTTAAAACTAGATGAGAAGTGATCAGGGCCGGAAACTTAAGTAGTAGTGGAAGTGAGCAGGAAGGCAGAAGATACTAAGAAGATAGAAATACTGGAACTTAGTGATTGGCTGAGGGAATAAAGGAGACGTTTTCTTGGGTTTACATCACTCTAGTGAGAGGGGTACCGTTTACTGAAAAAGGAAAATCCAGCAGGAGCAAATTGTCTTTTTGGGAAGGAGCAGTGGGTAGTGGACATGAATGAGGTGGCAGGGTGGTGGGTGGAAATGAGTACTTTTAGGGTAGAATTTAAGATGCCTGTGGGGACTCCTCCAGAAGGATGGGTATGTTAGGCATTTGGGTGTAGAAATCAGGAGGAAGGTTTGGCTGGAAATGGGAATTTAGAAGATAGCACACGAGTCATAGTTGAAGCCATGAGGTTGCTTTGAAGGCCACTGATACTAAAGGGGCAAGTAAATAGTGGGGGCGGGGGGTGGAGAACTGAAAGGAGACTGGAAAGGAGCAGCAAGAAAAATGGTATAAAGTTACAAGAAATGGGAGTAGTGAGGGCCCAAGTCCCAAAAAACAAACCAAAAAAAGTGGGAGTAGTCAGCAGTGTCAGATGAAGACAAGAGTCCCCTAAAAACAGGACAGGACAGGTCCTCTGGATCTGGTGGAGGAAAGTCAGTAGCCTAAGCAAGAATAATTTTGGTGTAGCATAGAGGTTAAGAACAGAGGCTCTGGAATCCTTTAGTATTTAAATCCTGCTTCCAACAATTACTGGCAGTGTGACCTTGGATTTGAATAGCTTATTAACTTTAAATATTAGCTTTCTGTGAAATGAGGCTAATACTACAGACGTATGGGGATATTATGAATAGGGTGAAATGAGATCATGTATGTAGGTTATGTGTGAGATACCACATCTGACGTTCACAGTCTTGTCATGGACTCTAGGGACAGGAGAATAGATGAGAACTGCGGCAGTGGAAGAGAACAGACTGCTGTGCTGTTAGAATGTTAGTGAGGGAAAGAAGTTGGCAGTTAGGAGTTTCAAGTCAGGGTTTTGGTTTTTTGTTTTTTAGATGGTAGAAACTGGATTACATGTATGCACCGAAGGAAAAGGTCCTCAGGGCCATGTGTTCTTTTGAGACACAAGAAAAGGATGAGTACATGGGTGTAGTTGCTGATAAGCTGACAGAACTGTTGGCACAAGGCTTCTTCTCTATAATTCCACACAGTCTTTACATAAGCCTTGTCTATTCTGGCTCTCGCTGATGACCTCCAGTGCATAAGAAAATGCTTGGCAAGTAATTTGACCAGTGGCTTCAGTTTTTTTCAGCGAAGAGAAACAATATCTTAAAAATCAGAAGTGGTGGGACAGTTGCGGGAATGAGGATATTTTGGGAGGAGCTTGCAAGAGGGCGCAGTGCTGAGACCCCCGCTATCATTGGTGCCGCTGCACACTGATGAACTGTGATCTGCAGAGTCTTTGCCAGTGGTATTCATTAGCCCAGGTGCCAGAAGAGAGCGATGAGAGGTCTGGATTGACCAGAGACTGGAAGGAGAAGGAAACAAAACAGGAATAGTAGTAATGGAAATGGCAGTAATAGTAGAAACTGAGTGAAACTCTATACTGGAGGGTGGAGGTGAAGTGGAACTCGTACATGCAGAGAAAATGGAATGGTCGGCTCTCCCACCAGAGAGAGTACGTGCATGCGCTCTGATGAGGTTGAGGGGTCACTGTAGAGACTGGTGCTAAAACAGGAAGACAGGATGTGTTTGTTGGGGAATGGGGATATGGCAGTTTAAGAATCAGCAGTTGAAGGCAGTGGCAGCTTTGAGGCTGGAGTCATGGGAGTGGGGAACTAAAAATAGAGTGGGGTGAGTAGCTTGGATGTATAGAGATAGAGAAGATCAAAATCTTCCTGTGTGAGCAAAGGCCAGGAGCCACAGTGTTTGTTGAATGTGTACTTCGAACGGTGTAGCTGGTATATGCCAAAATGTGGGGATTCATGAGAGAGAAAGCTGGGAGGTGGGAACCTTCCACACTGGACTCAAGAACTTGGATTTTAGCTACAGAGGCAGTGGGGAGCTGGTGGAGGTTTTTAATAGTCTCATTTTCTGGCAGCCATCTTTCTGGGTTCATTCCGCATGGCCTATCAAGAGATTAAGAATGTCATCCTGGAGGTGAATGAGTCTGTTCTCACTGAGTCTATGATCCAGGTAAGGAGCAAGGTGGTTCTGCTGGATTGGCTCTTCACATCGCGGTGCACTAGCCTCATCACCTCTCTGGGTAGAGGATGAGGTCCTCTAGCATAATGGTCTAGAGAATGATTTATGGAACGCTGGCTTTGGGTAAGCGTCCGTGTCTCTGGTGGTTAGGTTATTCCTGGTATATTTTTCAAAAGTCCTGCCATCTCACTAGCTACCTCTCCCCCCAATCCATGTTTCCTTCTTTGTGGTCCCTGGGCACAGTGGGGGGCTGACAGGAGGCCCAAGTTGTCAGCTCTTCCCCCTCAAACTGAGACAGTCCCTTCTCTCTTTCAGAACCTCATTAAGCAGATGCCAGAGCCAGAGCAGTTAAAAATGCTTTCTGAACTAAAGGATGAATATGATGATCTGGCTGAGTCGGAGCAGTTTGGTGTGGTGGTGAGTGAGGCCTATGGTAGTAAGCTCTTCCCTGACTCCCTTGCTCCTCTGCTCCCCCAGAGTAGCCATGGTACTTGTTCCTTGCCTCTTTTCTATTTTGAACCAATGTTTCTCTCTGCTTGGTATTCTTGAACTCAGAGCCTCCTATAGGAGAGGCTCAAGCCTGTACGTTTTTTCTGACTTTCCCTCTCCCTGCCTGCTGTACCAAACTGCTTGTCTTCCTCACCAGATGGGCACTGTGCCCCGCCTGCGGCCTCGCCTCAACGCCATCCTCTTCAAGCTACAGTTTAGTGAGCAAGTGGAGAATATTAAGCCAGAGATTGTTTCTGTGACTGCCGCGTGTGAGGAGTTACGAAAGAGTGAGAGCTTCTCTAAACTCCTGGAGATTACGTTACTTGTTGGAAACTACATGAATGCTGGCTCCAGGAATGCCGGTGCTTTCGGCTTCAACATCAGCTTCCTCTGTAAGGTAAGCCAAGGGTTTAGAGCAGAGCAACAGAAGGGAAGGCTGCCGGCCTCTGGGGGCCCAGTGTGGCAAAATACTGTTGGTCTCAGGTGATCTTGGGTATGTCAAGACTGACAGTTTCTCCTCTTTCCCCAAGCTTCGAGACACCAAGTCCACAGATCAGAAGATGACACTGTTGCACTTCTTGGCTGAGTTGTGCGAGAATGACCATCCTGATGTCCTCAAGTTTCCAGATGAGCTTGCCCATGTGGAGAAAGCCAGCCGAGGTGGGGCAGGTTGGGGCAAAACTAGAAGGCTATTTCAGGCCCCCAAAATCTTTGCATGGGGACGGAAGTAAGACACGGTCTAGATCTTATCTTAGATAGTTTTCAGTTCTGCCCATTTTAGGTGGGAATGGGAGAGGGTTTAGGCATGATGTCTAAGCCACGGGGAGAGGATTATCAGGCAGAGGGGAGGTCTCCGTGTATAGAAGTGGGAAGCACTCTTTCCTTTCCTAGGGAAATCCCAAATACTAAAAAACAACTGGAAGAAAGGTAGGTGTTTTTAGTCTAGGTCAGCAGTTATTTTTATTCAGAAAGTATGGACTAGATTGTCAAAAATCAGGCCTCATCATCCTGGAACTACACAAAGAAAAAGCAGCATTCGGTAGAAATGGGAACAGATTTTTGCCCTTCCTCTGTATTTCTGTGTATATCTCCTTCCCCTTCAACTGTGTGCCCTACAATAAATGAGACCAAGATCCCAGGGAATTTCATAGGTTCTTGTTAAATTAAATGAAACCTGTCTTCTCTTTGTGGAGGCTGGAGGTTCAGTTATCATGTAATTTATAGTTGAACTGGAAAGATGGAAACTGAAATGTGGGAAACAGCTAGACGAGAGAGCGTGAGAGCCAGGATAACTGGGTACAGCTGTATGGACAGAGCCTGGGCCCCAAAGACTGGAGGCTGAGGGTCTTGAGACTCATCATGAACTCTTTCTGTTTTTGTGTTTCCTTTAGTTTCTGCTGAAAACTTGCAAAAGAACCTAGATCAAATGAAGAAACAGATTTCTGATGTGGAACGTGATGTTCAGAATTTCCCAGCTGCCACAGATGAGAAAGACAAGTTTGTTGAAAAAATGACTATATCCTTTCTTAAAATGAGGGAGTTGCTTCTTAGGAAGGGAAGGAAAATGTCCAATGGGGGAACAGCCGGATAGATCTGGTGATAGACAATTTTTCCTTCTTGAAAAAAATTCTGTAAACAAAAAAACCCCATGCACATAAACGAAAATTCCTCCCTGACACCTTACCCTTTGCCCCATCTCCAGTACACACACACACACACACACACACACATGTATTCTCTTCTCCCTCCCCTTACCAAAGGTAACCACTACCACTGAACTTCTGATTTTTACCTCATGAATTTACTTTAAATCAAAACTGTGTTGTATTTCTTTTTGAATATAATATGTCTTAAGCCCAGGTTCCACAGCAATATATGGAGAACAGCCTCTTTTTTAATTGCCACCTCCTTTTTTGTAGGTGGACCATGGTTTATGGCTTGCCATTCCCCTATTTTCGATATTTAGGTTGCTTCTTGGTTTTGCTGTTATAAACAGTGCTATGCTGAACATCCTTGTGCATGCCAGCATGCATCTCTGAGTGTTCCTCGGGGCCAGAGAAGTGGATCTGCTTCTTGGTCTTGGTCCTTTACTTCCTGGCTGCACAGCTTTGTGAAGGACGCACAGGAACAGTATAACAAGTTGCGGATGATGCATTGTAACATGGAGACCCTCTATAAGGAGCTGGGAGAGTACTTCCTCTTTGACCCCAAGAAGGTGTCTGTGGAAGAATTCTTCATGGATCTGCACAACTTTAAGAATATGTTTGTGGTGAGCAAGGGCTATCTGCGGACTGAATCTTTTGTGGACATTTCTCACTTTCCACATTGGTTGGCTTCACATTGGTTAGTGTTGGGTGGGCATATGTGTAAGTGCATACATGCCCACGTGTTGTTGTTTTCCTCCACAGCAAGCAGTCAAGGAAAACCAGAAGCGGCGGGAGACAGAGGAAAAGATGCGGCGAGCGAAACTAGCCAAGGAGAAGGCAGAGAAGGAGCGGCTGGAGAAGCAGCAGAAGAGAGAGCAACTCATAGACATGAATGCAGGTAAGAAGTGGAGGAGAAGGGCTAATGGGTTGAAACAGGAACATTTGCAGGACTTCTCTGCCTAGAATGTAGAGGCCAGAGAGAACAGCTCATGTCTGAGCTCAGCTCCTGGCAAAAGATTGTTGGCAGTCTTCTACCTCCAAGAGCCTGATGCTGGACTTTCACCTCAGCTCCCCTGCATGCGCAATCCAGTTCTCCGAGCTCAAACCCTTCTCTCTCCTTTGCCAGTTTTCCCGCATTAGGTCTCATCTCCCTAGTGATCTAGGACTGCCGTAACACGTATTGTTCTGCCTGTCCGAATGTTCCGCTGGCCTGTTCTTTGTATCCTCTACTAAATCTTCTGTTCTTTTCCCCAGAATGTTTTCCCGGACCCACTCCCATCTCTTACTGGTGGCTTGCCCTCCCTTTGTGCTTATTTTCACTAAGGGCTGTGTCCTCAGTACTTCAGCAGAGTTGTCCACACTGTGCACACATAACTGCGTGTACCTATCAGATTATAAAGGGATTGCACTTGTGGAGAGGGGGCATGGGAGCTGGCCACTCTCTGTTTTCGTTAGCAGAATCTGTTTCACTACCAGAAGCATGTCTTTGTTGAAACATATGGCCTTAATTACTGGCCTTCTGTTTCCGGTCTCTGCTGCCTTCCTGCTGCTTATGCCCTGCCCCCACCTCTGTCAGCTCCTTCTGTGAGGAGAACTGTAGTATACATTGTGCACAGAATTTAGCTGATGCCACCCTTCTTGAACCTGAGGCACCACTAGCCATCTAAGTAAAGGGGTTCTTAGGGCCTCCAAGTCTGGCAAGAATCAAGTGCTTTGTTGAGCACAAGAGACCAGAGCTGCTCTAGCACCTCTTTCTCCCAAGGACTTTTCTTTGGCAGCTCCTGTTGTGATGAGGCCCGGGACCTTAAGGAGCAGAACAGCCTACACTTTTTTCTTTTCTTCCTATTTTTCTGGGAAGCATTTCCACAGTCCTTCCTATAGTTATATATATAAGCCACAACATTTTGTTCTGCAAATGCTGTTAAAGCCCACGCCAAGTATCTTTCACTTTCCCCCTTTCTCCCTTGGCGGCCAGGGTTTGTCCCTAGATGTAGGGAAAGGTGGAGTCCAGCTGACATGCAGGATGAAAGCTGCACCTACTCACCTGGCTGTGCAGCAAGACCTGGCCCTGGCCCGGGTCCCCAAGGCAATGCAGGAGGTTGGAAATGTAGGTCACCTGCACTGGTGATGTTCAGCCAGCAGGTGGCGCAGGGAGCAGTGAGCCCAGCCTTGTAGCTAACAAGCCCGCAGGCTCCTTGGGATTTCAGTTTCAGATTTCACCACCCTGAGCTGTTGCCATAGAAACAGAGCCTGGCTGGAACAAGAATTCGACATTAACTCTTTACATTCCAGCCAGGATGCTCTGCTTACATGCTGAGCTGGTTCTGGAAGATGCAGCCACAGAGGTCAGTACTTACTAGAAATTCAGTCTTGATCAGGGGTTTCTCCTTTTTCCTCAGCCCTGCTCTGAAACTGGAACCAGGCTCTCCCTGACATGTTTATGTGAACTGGAGTGAAACACTTTAGGATAAAGAGCAAGTGATAACATTCCATATTAATTTCATAATCCCAGTCTGTGTGCTTATTCTGGAATTAGTCTTGGGCATTTCTGCAATTCTCTGTGCTAGTCCTGGTTGGGATAGGAAGGAGGGTACGGCCAGGAAATACCCCAAGGTCTGCAGTGGTTAATAGGCAGCCAAACCTTTTGTTTTAACCATTTTCAAACAGATGCAAGTAAATATGGGCTGTGGGGTTGGGCCCTCTGTCTGCTCTCAGCCCTTAGCCACTGTGGGTGACAGGAAGCCAGTCAACAGTCCATACATTATGTGTGGGGCTCAATGCTGCATGCTGCTCAGGCTGAAAAGCATACATCTCCATCTTTGTTCATGACAGAGGGCGATGAGACAGGTGTGATGGACAGTCTTCTGGAAGCTCTGCAGTCAGGCGCAGCATTCCGACGGAAGAGAGGACCCCGTCAGGGTAAGTGAGCAGGGGAAGCCCAGCCTGGGCCTGGAAGGGGTGAGGCTGTTTGTCTTGGGCTGAAGAACGGGTAAAGATGCTCTGACAGTTTAGAAACTTCTTCACAGTAGGCCCTGCATCAAGAGTGGGTTGTCGAGGCCTCTTCCTCCCATATTAGAAAGCATTGACCTGAAGAACTAGGTCTCGTGGGACTGAAAGTGTACATTTGATGTAGGAAATACAAAGAAAAGTTAAGAGTCCTTACTCCACAAGCAGAAAAGACAGAGAAGGTTAGGCATCATTATCCTCACATGTAATAATAAAGAGCAGCAATCCATTGGAAGAACTGTCTCTGACAACTGCCTTTCCTTGGGTGAGTTAGCTTCCACTGCCTTTGTGTTCCCTATTTACTCCCCCACAACCCTCAGAAGATACAAGTGGATTAAGTTGAACCAGAGCCTCTAAGAAGAATTACGAGGATAGGAGGACAGATGATCCAGGCATTCGTATGGGGGAAGGATCGGTAGATAAGTTTCCTTGGAGGGAAGCGCACAGTGGCTAAGAGACTAGTCCACGAGAAGGTAGAGCCAACACTGTCCCTCATGCAGGGCTGACTTGCACCATTGGGTCTGGCGAAGGCCCTTTGGGACTAGGAGTGATGGCTTTTTTCCTAGGTTGAGGGTGGGAATAACAGAAAAGGCAGTCATCAAGGGTTTCTATTTTTGAGAGAGTTAAAGATGTGTTCCCTATTCCCTGGCTGGTATATTCTGTAGGTCTGTTTGAAAGCGCGTTAAGGTTATCGTAAGGAGGAGGTGTGCAGCTTGCTTTGGCCAGCGCTTAGCTGTTAACACAGAGGTATCTGTAGGGCTTAAAGTACCTATCATAGCTTGGAAAGGGGACCCTGGGATGAAGGGTATAGAGCATGCTAGCTGCCATAAACTTAGTGTCCTGGCCCAAAGGTTGCTGCCTATTTTTGCCCATACTCTGAATTCCCAAAGGGAAATTCCCTTCTGAGGGCTCTTCTGTACAACCTCTGAACCTTCCCTAAATAGGAGAATCCCTCATTTACAAGTCTTGGCATCCTTTGAGAAGAGGTTCTCTAGTGCAAGAATAGGTGATTATGATGGACTTAGAACTTCCTGGGTACGTTTAGTCTTACAGATCAGTGTTTGAGTAGAGAGCGCAGCTGGTAGTATTTATTTTGTTTAGTTTTTACAGGTTCTTGTGACATTGTTCTCTACTCACCATATAAGGTGATGTGGCCTTACATGAGGTATTTCTAGCCAAAAGAAAGTACATTGCATCTCACTGTTGACTCTCTCAGCTAAATGCCAACCTGCATCAGATTTTTGGTGGGGAATTCCCTTTTTAAGCCTCTTCCTCTGAAACTATACTAGAATGCCAGATGCTTCCTGTACACAGGCAGCCAGACATCAATGTCTTCCCTCTGTGGGGGAGGCCCCATTCTCTACTTCTTCCCAAGTAGGAAACCAGGACTCACAGGCAGAGGAAGCAGGGATTTTATTGGAACATAACCTTTCAGCAGAGGATCCAAATTAGTCAAAATGCTATTTTCCCAGGGTAAGAAGGAATAGGAGAATGATACTAGGAGATAGTGCAGCAGAGAACTACATGATTTTTAAATTGGTTCCATCCTGTAACCTAATCTTCCTGGGCTCTGGGTGTCTAGGAGAATCTCTTAGGGGAGACACTTTGACTTACTCTGGTATCCTGCTTAGTGCATTCATGTCCTCTAAAGTGATCTGGCCTCACACTAGCTGTAAAGGTTCTATCACAGTAGAGTGTGACCAGCATCAGACTAGGTAGAAATCAAAAGACCCAGAGTCAAGTAACTCTGATGCTATGTACCTTGGACAATTGTAGGCGATTCTGTTTCTTCTTGAGCTGGACTAAAATGGTCTCTTGGGTCCTTTCCAGCTTTAAAAATCCTGTTGTCATGGGACAAAAGAATAAGAGAAGACATAAAAGAGGCTGGACTCAGAAGGCCCCGTTCTCAAACTATAAAATAGGTCCTGGTGGCTACAGGTTTCCTTCAGTGGCTCCTGCACTTAGCTGGTCCATTCCTTGCTTGGCCTCCTCTATCCCTTGTGATCAATTGCTTTGAGCCAAAAAACTGAAGCCCTGTCAAGCAGATCTGCCTCACAGGCCTCCTCAGTCCCAGCTCTCCCAGCCTCAAAGACCCTGGCCTTTTCCTTAGTATTTAAAGGAATGTTTTAAAAAAAAAAATCTTCCCGTCTCTGGAGACCCGAGGGAGTGTATACTGAGTACAAAGTATACAAAGAACCATTGAGTTAGAAAAGGAGAGTTACTATCAGGGCCGGTTCATTAAAAGTGACATGTAAACTGCTGTGATCTGCAGGGTGTGGGAGAACAATGGTTTGAGTGTCAAAGGGAAGAATCCATGTGATTGTATTACAGCTACTATTTCAGGCTGACGATTGAGTCAGCGTGTGGTTTTAATGACTCAACTTTATCTCCATGTCTGAATTGTGGCCTCTTATATACAGGCCATCTGCCCACTGGGATAAAAATCAAGGAAGAAATTCATCTTTCTTTTCCTTTCCTTCCCTCTAAGCTCCACCTACACTAATAGAACCTTAGAGTCAGGAGAGCCTCTAAAGACCTTAGTGATTAGCATCTGACCTCCTCATAGATGAAAATAATTAAGACCCAGATAAGCTCTTCCTCTCCCAGATCTGAAGAGCTAGAGCTAGAACTGTAGCCCCCTTTTGTGATTCCAAGTCCAGGGCTATTTCCACTAAGCCTACTTGATGGACCGGAGAGGACAGTGACCCCTCTGTGTAGGCCAGAGTATTCTTTCATACCTTATGGCAGAGAGCACTGGACACGGTACCGTTGCTTCAGGGAGTTTTCTGATGTCTACCTGTCTATAGAAGGTTAAGAGTATTTCCTACATGACCACTTATTCTCCCTCTGCTTTTGTAAAAATAGGACAGGTATTATAATTAGGCAAGTTTTAGACAGTAATGAGTTCTTTTAGGACAGTAATGACTGTCTCATCTGTCCTAGTTTCCTCTCCCCCAAGGAAGCTTATTAACAAGAACACTTCCTCTTCAGTAGCAGTTTCTAGCCTGCATTTTATAAATGTAAATGTCTTTTTTCCAAATCATTGACCTTTTTCTAGTTATAATATGCTTGGTGGATTTTGCTGATGTTTTTATCTTAGCCCACCTGAACTTCTAGGAATCTGTCTTCAGAGACCTTTGACCCAAGTCTCAACATTGTTCCCTTTTCTCCACAGGCTGTGAGACTGTTCTATTTTGAGTTAATAATCCTCCTTGATCTAATATAGTCAAATTATGTATCTGCTTCTATGGCTACTTGTCAATAGTCTCAAGTACTCAAGGTAGGGAAAGGAGGGGAAAGCTCACTTTTTCTTAATTGTTCAAACTGTTGAGTATAATTGTGGCCCCGAAGACAGAGTGGAAGCCAGAATTCTTGAGTTCTGTTGATTCTCTTTCCAGTTGCAATAAGAGCTTTCTCATTTCTGAGAAAGGCCACATCCCTGTGTACTTACTTTCTAGGCTTAAAAGGGAAGTTTTGGGGGCACCTGGGTGGCTCAGTTGGTTAAGTGTCATACTTCAACTCAAGTCATGATCTCACGGTCCATGAGTTTGGGCCCCATGTCGGGCTCTGTGCTAACAGCTCAGCCTGGAGCCTGCTTCGGATTCTGTCTCCCTCTCTGCCCCTCACCCGCTCATGTGCGCTCTCTCTCTCTCAAAAACAAACACTAAAAAAAAACATTTTTTAAGGGAAGCTTTGGTCTTCCCCCCACCTACCATCCACTCTTAGTTTTTGTGAAACCTGTAAAGCATCAGAATCTTTTGGAATCTAGAAAACCTAGAAACACTGCTTGATTAGGTACAACTGGTATCAACTTAGTTTAGAGGAAGAAACCAGACTTTTCCCATGTTGCCCAGGACAGGTCTCCCTGAAGACCCAGTATTCTTTTCCCTCTGGGGTCTGGAGTCAAATTACTTCAACACAAATGCATTTCTTTAGTCACACACAAATAGTTGGCCATATTTTCTCAACTGCTAGAGGATAAATACACAGGCACACTTGAGTGACATCAAGCCATTGCCTTTCTGGACATGAGAAGTAGGGTCCTAGAGAAGGGAGTAAATTTAGAGAAGAGCAGAAACTAAGTGGGGCTGAGGCTAAGAAGATCTAAGTACATACATGTAGACTTCCCTAGTCACACTGTCCCCACCCCAGTCACTGAGGCGGTAGCACATGTTTATAGTCAAAGTAGTGGCCTGTGTGGAACACCTGGAGTATAGGTCACATACCTTCCACCTGGAACCAGAGGGTGAGCCCTTGTGCCTCTCAGTCAGGGCCTTCACTCTTCTTTCTCCTCTTGTTAGACAGTCCATTGTGCCCCTGGCAGGAGGAGTTGGAGGAGGAGGAGACCTATACACTGGTAACCTGTGGGCATGCAGTGTGCTCCTTGACTTAGGGGTGGCCTCTGTTGTGTGAACACAGCAGTGCTGGCTCTCTAGTGAAAGGGTGGGCCTTCCCCCTGTTTGGCTTCTGCGCTGCCTGAAGCTTTTTGCTGGTCCAAACAAGGCAAAGGTGTTATGGGCGCTTTGTTCACTGCTTCCTCTGGACCTCTTCATTCCTGCGCCTGTCCCAGAGCTGCCCCCATCATTTAGCAAGCGGTTCTTGCTTCTGTAAGGCTGAAGTACTGCTTTCTCCACTCATCTTTCCCATGACCCAGCAAAAGCTGGGTTTTTTTAGATATAAATCAAATGCTTAGAATTCACCCTTTTAAAGTCTACAATCCAGTCGTTTCAGTATATTTTTAAGTTTGTGTAACCACTAATTCCAAAACATTTTTACCTCCCCAGAAAGAACCCCCATCCCCACTGGCAGTCATTCCCCCAGCCCCTGGCAATCGTGAATCTACTTTGTGTCTCTCTGGATGTACCCATTCTAGACATTTCATAGAAATGGAATCATAGCACGTTTAGCCTTTGTGTCTGGCTTCTTTGACCCAGGCAGGCAGCTCTTTGTGTACATGTGGCCTTTCTGTGCTGTTTTGTAGGGCATGGGAAGAAGCAGAGAACATGAGATGGGCATGGTCCCAAGGAACTGCCTTTGTGTTGAATGAAGATACTGGGGCCATAAATCTGCATTCCATAAATTGTGACAGTCTTAGGGATGGCTCCCAGCAGTGAGAACAGAAACTCATGGCTTAATTGGATCTTCTCTTTCTAAGATTACAACTGGAGTGTCACCATCCCTTAACACATTGGAATGAGATTTCTTTGTAGGGGCCTGTCCTCACCATTCTTGACTGCAGCTCTGCCTTTGCTGACATACCTTTCATTACCCACTCACCCCCACCCCGACATACATACCTTGTAGGGCCCTTGGCATTTGTCTCCCAGCTGCTACTCCTGAAGAGGTGGGGAAGAGCTGGGCATGTGGGCATGGGGAGAGGGAAGGGGGGTAGGGGTACACATGGGAGTGTGACGTGCACTTGACGTCAGCGCATGGCTGCTGCTCCGCTTTGCAGGAGTTGCCCCCAGCAGCCTACTGAAGGCTGGACAGGCCTCCCCGGGTCTGACTTGAAATGGTTTTGGCCTAGGAGATTCCTGAAAACAGCCAAGAAAACAAAACTACTACTCTTTACTAAGCCTGAGTCTATTTAATTCCAACAACTCTATGATGAGAAAACAGATTTTGGGCACTTCATTCCTCTTTAAGTTTTACCTAACAAGCCTGAATCACATTTTTTTCTGTCTAGCTATATTCAAACCTGTGTACAGTTTTCACACAGGAAAGCCTGCACCACATGCTCTCTGCACCTAGGAAGTATATTCCACATGTGGTTAGGTCTCTGCCCCTCTTTCTTTCAAAGAAGGGCCTTCTGAACCAGACCGTGCAACCACATTTGCATGGCTTTGGGCGGAAATGTCTGCTACAGAGTTTGAAAGGGATTAGAAATTGGGCCTTCTGTGGACAAGCTCTCTCATGTCTTTTCTTTGCAGCCAACAGGAAGGCTGGGTGTGCAGTCACATCTCTGCTAGCCTCGGAGCTGACCAAGGATGATGCCATGACTACTGTTCCTCCTAAGGTCGCCAAGAACAATGAGGGAGTCCCCACAATCCTTGAAGAACCCAAGGAGCTGGTTGGCCGTGCAAGCTAAGCTGGGTCTTGTGGCCCCAGCAGCTTCCGTAGTGGAGCCCCAGACTGTCTTGCCCTGCAGCATGTGCCTAAAGGGTCACGGAAATATTCCTCTGGGGTGGCTGCTCCCACTACCTTGACCCTGTCTTACTCTCTGGCCTGCTGCTCTCTGTACATCACACACAGCTTCAGCTGCCTGGAGGCCAGCAGGAAAAGGCAGTGTGGGGAGGCCTGAGCGCAGCCCGCCCTGGCTGTTGTATTACCAAAGCAGGCTCCGTGTTTGCTGCCTTAACCCCAGCGGTCTTCTGTCACTCTGAGGCCTTGTCTCAGACCAGGCCCCACCTGCTTTCTCAACCCCTGCCTTTCCAGTAGGCTTCCACTTTGGTCAATCTTGCTGGGTTCGTGCTTTTCTTTTGTGGTTTCTCTAGCCCTGAGAACAGCATGGGGCTTGTGAACCTTTAGGCTGTATCCCTCCTTTCATCGCTGTCACCTCTGCTCTTCCCTCTCCCGGTTACTGTTATTTATTACTAGTGGTGTGACACTGGGAGCCATGCCCAGAGAAGTGGGGAGGCAAACCCCACCCTCCCCAAACCTTCCTGGGAAGGGCCTCCCAAAACAAAAAGGACCTGGACCACTTGATCTGTTCCACGATGGCCTAGGCCAGGGCCTGTGGGCAGGCAGGATATAGAGACATTGTGGGACCTGTCCCCAGCCTGCTGCCATGTTTTATGACCCTGCCTCTGTGAACCTTCTATACCTGCCCCAGGCTACTGAGCCATGGTCTCTCCTCACATCTTCCCCGGAGCTTTGGTGCATCTCCTCTGGAGTATGGACTTTATTGTGACCATCCCAACACCTCACCCTCTGTCTCCAAGGAAATGGGAGGTGGAGCCTCCTGGCTGAGAAATTGTTTTGCAAATGGATCTATTTTTATATGAGATTTTTTTTTTAAGAGAATAACTATCCCTTCCCCCTTTCCCCTCCATAATGTAAGAGACTTTGATGGCAGGTCCTGGTGCCCCTGGGGTTTCTCCCCACAGGCCTCAGTCCTGAACAACACCCTGGACCTCCACCTCCACCCTAAAGCCTTCTGGGCCCTTGAAGTCCAGTGCAGATTCTCTCTCCCATCATCTAGTTCTGGGGCAGGAGGAGCTCTTCTCTGGTAGAGGTGGACCAGGCCTCAGTGGTGGGAGCTCTGAGACCACAGAGTTTTTAATAAAAATTTAATATATTTATCAAGCCAAATGTGCAAATGCTAACTGGACACTGGGCAAGTGAGTAGTGTTGCCACACAGCGTCCCCCTGCTCCCTTATGAACAGTGGGCAGGCCAGACTGTTCAGAGGCCCTGGCTCCAGGAAGCTCAGATTCTCTGGCTCAGGGTGACACTTTGCCCTCCTTTGCTTTTAGCTTCCACCCCCAGGTAGGAGAGAGAATGACACTGCTCAGGCTTGACCCAGAATTAAAGTTGTTGGAGCAAAGGGGGGAACGCAGGAGACCTGAGGCTTCCTGCAGGGAGGCCTTCAGGCCAGGAACAAAGGTTCCGTTTGCTACAGCTGTCTGTGTGTGAAGGGGCAACAGCATCTCCTTTGAGTGGGGGGGAGGCTGCTCCCCTGGGTCCCCTCCTCTTCCCTGCTGACATCTGGGGCTTTGACCCTTTCTTTTTTAATCTACTTTTGCTAAGATGCATTTAATAAAAAATTTAAAAAGACAAAATGCAAACCTGTTTCCCTTGCCTCTTGGGCTTCTGGGATGTCATCACCTCCAGTTTGTTGGGTTTGTTTCCAACTGTTAATAAAGCATTGAAACAGTACTACCTTACCTCCTCCTTTGTGACTTTAAGCTATTTTCCAAATCCCTGGTTGATCTGACATTGTCAAAAAGCTTAAGGTGCGTAACATGTGCCAGACAGACACCATGCTTAGGCTTCTGCCCTTACATTTGCATCTTACAAAGGAATAGAGCCCCAGTTCTGTTTTGGCAGCCTGGTGGTTTGGAACCCTTTTCTTGAACTCAGTTCTAGTTCCCCACCTCCTAGCACCCCCACATGTCAAGAACTACTAGGTCCTGGCAGTACCTGTGTCTCTTCTGCTGAGGGAAGATTCTCCCATCTCCCCTCTTCATGTCTCCCTGCCCCCCCCCCCTTGGTGGCCACAGACCAACCACACTGCAGATTAGAGGAATTTATGTGGCGGAAGAGGGGGACAGAAACCTGAGCCTGCCAGCAGAGGTGAGAAGCCAGAGGTCATGCTCCAGGTGACTTGCAGCTCAGAGCCATACTTGAGCACGCTGTAACCTACACAAAGGAACCTTACAAGCTATGAACAGACCCAGAATAGACAATGAGGGGCTTGAAGAGGACCACAAACCCATTCTGGCAGGCTCTAGAACTGGAAATAAAAGCCTTTTAAATAGCGCTGGAGCCTGGGCCAGCTGCCTCCCCAGTATGGCTGGGGATGTGGGGGTAGGTTGCCTGCCTCCTCCCTCTCCCCCACCAGAAGCCACGCGTTTCTGTTTCAGAGCTTTACAGGCGCACATACCAATTAGGGGACCAACCACAGCTGCTCACACACACTGCCAATCTACTGCCGTGCCTGGAATAGAACCCAGGCAGCCAGCACCCCGCCCTCTGCAACCCAGCTCTCAGAAACAAAACCCCAATTCCATCTCAGAAACCGTCCACACCACCCTTCCTCCCACATAAGAAGGTCGCCTCCAGATGCTTAGTTGGAAGGCTTGGTTTCCGTGACAACCGACTTCAGGAGCTGGCAAAACACATGACCAGGCTCTGGGAGGATGCGCATAGGAAGCCCACAGACTGCCTCCTTCCACCCTGCAGTTAGGCATGCCTTCCCGGATCCGCCAGATAACTCCAGTGGGTCTCTGTTTGTCATTCCTCTGCGCCCTGTCTTCTCTCCTCTGTACTTCCTGCAGAGGACAACCTCCAATTCCCACTGTGTTCCAAGGAGGCAGACTGAGGAAGAGGGGAGGGGAGGAGGGCTGAGAAGTGAATGGAAAAACAAGGAGAGAGGGAGAAGAGGAACAAGGGAAGATAGTCTGGGTCTACCGACAATCTATCCTGTATACTCACTCTTCAATCCCCTTGACACAGGGCACCCCACACCATCCCCAGCAACAAAGTGATGAACCTTCTACTTTTCCTTGGCTCTGCCACAGAGAGTGGGAAGGTGGCTTCCAGATGGGTGAACCGAGGCCCAGGCTATATGTAGCCTGCCCTCTTGCGCCGTGTTCCCAAAGCCACTAGGCAGCCAGGGTGGAGGGGAGTGGTCAAAGGAGAATCCACCCTCCTAGGAAGGAGCCCACAAAGGTACTGTGGGGTGTTAATTTTAGCAGGGAAGAGGGGGAAACTAAGGAAATGTCCACCACCCAATTTCCAGCTCTGTAGCCATTGCCAACACAGTCCTCCCCCGCTCTGGAGTCTCCTCTTCTGCCGGGAAACTGGCGCTTAGAACCTTAAGGGAGAGAGAGCCACAAGCATACAATTGCACGCTCAACTGCACAGCGCCACGCAGCCCTCAGAGATCCCCCTCCTCAACAGACCCATAAAACGATTACACACAACGGTATACCGATCCACAAGTGCAATTACAGTCGATTGTATACTGTTAAATATGCACAACAGTATTGCAAGCACACACAGCCACATTTGACTGTCACACACAGACTCCAGGGCAGCGACACAAAACCAAGACGCAAATACAATAGCCTCGCGATCCCGCCCTTCTTCCGGCATACACCTCTTAGCACTTCATCCACACATGCTAGGAGCCTCCATCTCTTACACAGAACCGTTCAACCTTTCAGAAGAAACCTTTTAATTTTTTTTTCAAAGAAAAAAAGCCATATAAATATTAGAGTATAAAACTTGCGTGAGACACAGGAAGGGGAGTGGGTGGGGAGCTACATGACTATGCGAAGAGAAGCACTTATAGGAGTCAGTACAGGGGACGGGGTCGCCGCAGCGCATGGACACAGCACAAAACACAGCACGGGCCGCCGCAGGCGGATTCAACGACAGATGGCTGCGCGGAGCCCTCCGCCCACCCGCCATCACGGAAAAGCACACCGCACTACACTATTGGCTATTCTACACCAGCCGAAAGAGGGAGGGGGCTCTACACTACTGTAAGGGTTGGGGTGGGGTTCTTGCGCAGCCCCACTGGAGGTACGGGCCTGGGGGAGGGGGTGGGCAGAAGGGGATGGGCAGAGAAAGGTCTATGCACAAGGAGGCACTGGGGGACTTTAACCAGGCTCTGGCCACTAGGGAGCAGACTGGGGGGAGGCGGGCTGGGCACTGGCCTTCACGGAGAAGAAATGGCACCTGGCAAGATGAAGGAACAGAGGCTGGAGGAGTGCAGGGGCCCTGTGGAGAAGCCCGGATCCTAGGCTGAGACTTTCTGTCCACCTGGTCCCTGCTGTAGCTCCATGCCTCCCCAACCCAGGGACCAAGAACCGCCTAGCTGGCCCTGCCTCACTGTTAGGGCCACACTGATTCTTCTACCTGTGGCACCTCTGGAGTACCCAGCACCCACAGAGGGCCCTCTGACCTCTCCAGGGGACCTGGTCCCAAACGTCCTTAGACCTTCCTTTGACTATAATGCCAGTTTAAATCCATTGGTGCTAACAGCTCAGCCCAAAGCTCACTGCCTGAGGTGAGTGAGCAAGCCTTGAATGTGGTAAACGAGAGTCCAGCCTGGTACTTGGTTTATGGCTGGAATTGGGGATCTGGCCAGTACCCTGGGGACACAGAGCCTTCTGCAAGATCCTGATAACTGGCAAGTCAAGCTTTGTCCATCCCCTATATCCACACCCTTCCCTTCTTTATCTTACCACCCCATACTGTCTTGGAACATGCAATGAAGTCTCTTGTTTGGAGAGGGGGAAGTCACGGCATGCAGTGGGAACATCAAACAATGAAAAACAGAACAAAAGACTGGTCCCAAGGGCGCTGGGAAGAGGCACGGTAGCAAAGTGCCCTCCCTAAATCCAGCAAGCGTCAGTACCATGGCAATGGTGACCATGTCTGCCAAAACTTGAGCTTGGTCTTGGGCTCTGGAAGATGAAGGGACGGGCACCAAACCATGCTTTGGGGGCAGTCTGAGAACTGGAGAGGCCAAGAGGTTATGACGCCCTTCCAACCCTTCAGAACTACGAGCCTTTTTAGGTCACCAGGTACCTCAACACCCCCACCACCTTATTCAAGAAAGAGGAGCTGCTGAGGGGGTGGGGTGACAGGAGCGAGGCAGGGAACTGTGGATGGGCCTGATTGAATTTGGAAGATGGCAAAGTTCAGCTGTAACTAAAGGGGGTGTGATAAATGGTGTCTACACTAACCCCACTACCCCCATGGGCACAGCAATTGACTGGATGGGGGTTCCCAGCAGAACTCCCTTTTGCATATTCAATCCCTTGGGGGCAGAGAGGGGGGTGTTGACTGGGCACTTGTTTCTGTTTCTCAAAGGGAGCATGGCCTGGACCCCTACCAGTATCTGGGGGTGAGCCCTGAAAATATGAGGCCTGGGTACAGATACGGAGAGAGGCTGGGCTGGTTGGGGAGGGAAGTTGCCCCGTGGCTCTTGGCCTGGCCTCCACGTTACTTCTTCTCTTTTTTGCCTGACTTCTTCTTGTTGCCATTGCCACCGGTGGGGGCCTTGCCATCTCGCTTGCCAGCCGCGTTGGTCAGTGTGGCGTTACTGCCGGGGATGTAGACGTTCTGGCGGTAGTCCGGCACGTGCTGCAGGGTAAACTGGGGCCCGTAGCGGGCACTCAGGCCCATGGTGCCAGCGCCCCCTCCCAGGGTGGAGCCCCCATCAGCAGCTTCTGCAAGAGAGAGAGGAAGGTGAAGAGCTAAACTCTGGGTCCCTCTTTTATAGCACAACCAGTTAATGGGCAGAGCGCCCAGCCCTGACCACAATGAGCCCTGGGAATATCCTCTCTATCAAAGGGGGATAAACACCTTTTGATAAATACCCTCTAACAAAGAGGCAGAGGTAAGTGGCTCTGGAGTGAGACCAGCTGGGTTTGATTCCCAGCTCTTTTACCTACTAACCAATTGGGGGCAATCCCTAGGTCTCCTGATCTATGAAAAGGGGTAAAAATAACAACTACCTCTTCTGGTTTGGGTGAAGACTAACCAAGATTATGTAGGGCCTAAAACATGCTGTTATTTTTCAGGGCATAAATAAAAGCTCTCCAGTCCTTGCCCTAACCCTTCTCACGGGAGCCTCTCTGGTCTCCACACTAGACTGTGGTCTCCTGGAGGGCTGCAACTAGGGCCTGTGTGTCCTCCTATCCTTCACCAGCCGGTGCCCACAGAGTGGGGGCACTCAGCAGTTCTGTTGTTAGCAGGGGGTCAGGGGGTTTTGCAGGTATTCATTTCATAACAGCGACAGGAGTTGACTAGTGTCAACTATTCTGTGCCAAGTACTCTGCTAGATACTGCACGTGCATGATGGCTTTCACCTCAGTGAGACAACCCAGTGAGGTACGGTATTTATCCTTACTTTATATATGAGGAAAGCAAGGCCCAGAGAAGGTAAAAGACTAACTCAAAGCCACAGCAGCCATCACAGGTTAAAGCAGGGGTGGCTAAGTGTATCTCAGCATATACTGTAGAGAGAGTCACCACTACCACCATCAGGTTGGATCTTATCACTCTGAGGATAAAGGAGGAGGACAGAAGACAAAATGAGCCATGTTCTAGGAGGCTAAAAAGATGATTCCGGGACCAGATATCTACTATTTCTCTTTTGGATTTCAAATTTTTATTTAAATTCTTGTTAGTTAACATATATGGTAACATTAGTTTCAGGTGTAGAATTTAGGGATTCATCACTGACCTATAACACCCAGTGGTCATCACAAGTATCCTCCTTAATACCCATCACCCACTTGGCCCATTCTCTGCGACCAGGTATCTTAGGTACAAGGTAGACAGAGGTTCACAGTATCAGAGCTATGGAACATCAGAGAACACCCCAAGCCCAACTTCCTACTGTATACAAGAAGAAACGGGGTCTAGAGAAGTATTCTGGCTCTAGCTTAGCATCACCCTGAGAGCTTGTTAGAAATGGAGACTTGGAATCTGCATTTTAACAAGATTTCCAAGTGATTTTTAGGCACACTGAAGGTAGAAAAGCACAGGATCACTTATCCCATTGGGTTTTTGTGAGGCTCAAATGAGACAGTGCTTCATGACTCCACAGGCACTTGGTAAGGGCTCACTCAGTGTTGGGTGCAGCGCTCACATCATCACCACCGTATAGTGTGTGTTGTTACTTCTACTCTACATGCTCCCTGGGTGCAGCAAGGAAAACCAGGAATTCCCCCGACTCAGCCTGAGTTCCCAAGGGCTCCTGCTGGAGTCCTCTGGCAGTGGGAGGGTTAAAGCCCCTGGAATTCCCAGCCAAGACCCAGCCCAGCAGACAAGAGTTCTCCTCCCAGCCTCCCTTTACTCTAAGCTAGACCCTGGGAGTGGGTAGAGAGGGTGACTAAAGCCGGAGAGGCTGACTAATCCTGGGACACTAACCAGGGATTGAGAAATAGACAGGAACTATTTTAAAAACCAGCACAAGAGGGGGAAGGGCACAGGAGAAGGGAACAGATAGAAAAGCCTTGGGTCTTTCTGCCTCCTCACTCCAATGCTCGGGTTTCTACAATCTCCATTTCAAGTCCCAAATCCCGGGATTTGAGGGCTTTGGGGGGTGTGTGAAAGGCTGGGTGGGAGGGAGCAGCTGCCCACTTCCTTCTCTCTTTCCCCAGACTGCTCCCCTCCCCCAGCCCTTTCATTCCATTGACTTTTTCAACGTTTTCCCTAATTAACTCCAGGATGGAGCCAAGCTCACCCTCCCCTTCAGCATACCCTCTCTTCCAGCCTGGGAATGAAGGGGTGGGGGAAGGGGCCTAGATTCTGCTTCAAAGAGCTAGGATTCCAGAGTGATTTAGGGGCTAAAGGGGAGACTTCAGAGGCGCCAGAGAGGGAGAAAGAGGGGGACACACACATACATACATACACATAACACACACACACACACGCACGCACACGCATGTGTGTGCACGCAGAAATGGGGAGAACCAGGGAGAAGGGAGGTAGAAACAGAAGGGCACAAAGGGCTTGACTTGGTAACTGGAGGCAAAGCCCACCCACATCCCACCAGCATCCCAGATCTCTAAGGAGCACCCCAAGGAGGTGGAAATGACAAAGCCAGTTCTTGCCACCTCCCACCAGAAGCACAGGCCTGATGCTGGCCCAGGCTCTGTGGGGGACTTTGAGGTTGGGCTGGACCAGGAGAGAGAAGGTGTGCAAATCCAGGGCCTAACAGAAAAAGGCTGACACTAGAGTTCCTTCTGTTTAGCGCTGTCACTAAGAAAGCCGGGTGACCCTGGCAGAGGCCCTGCACAACTCAGGCCTCCATTTCCCCATGTGTAAGTCTGAGGGGGGAGATGGTGGATTGCAGCCTCTGACCTTCTGTAGAATCAATTCTTCATCGGTCCCTCCTTCTACCTCCCCCCAGCACACAGTGAGCAGGGACCAAGATCTTTTCCATTCTATAGAGAAACATTCTTTAAAAAGCAGCCAGAAAGGGGTGACTGGCTGGCTGGCTCAGTCAATAGAGCATGAAACTCTTGATCTCAGGGTTATGAGTCCGAGCCCCACGTTGGGTGTAGAGATTACTTAAAAATAAAATCTGGAACACCTGAGGGTGGCTCAGCTGAACTCTTAATTTCACCTTAGGTCAAGATCTCACGGTTTGTGGAATAAAGCCCCATGTGGGGCTCTGTGCTGACAGTGTGGAGCCTGCTGGGGATTCTCTCTCTCTCCCTCTTTCCCTTTCTCTCTGCCTCTCCCCTACTCATGCTCTCTCTCAAAATAAATAAATATTTAAAAAACAAAAATAATAAAAATTAAAAATTAAAAAATTAAATCTTAGGAAAAAAAAAAAGGCATTAAGAAAGAACCTAGGCAAACTCTGGCCTAAAGGGCAAAGGTCACTGGCCTCCTCTCCAGCTCCTGGCCTCACAGCCTCCCTTCCCACCCCAGCTCAGGGCTGAGATAGCACCTCCAGACAGGGAGGCCTGGTCAAGCTAATCCAGAGTCAGTTGAACCGCAAATCAGAACCTCCTTGAGAACACACTTCCCCCAAGTGTTTATTTAAAGTGCCTCCCAAGTGTACTTACTTTCCTTCTTACTTACTTCCCCTCAGCAGCCCCTTAGCCAGGCTGGGCTGGACTCCAGGAACCTCTCTGGCTTCAGGGCAGAGAAGCGGGTGTGAAAGTGGGAGTAGAGCCTGACCCTGCCACTTCAACCCTCTGGATCCATTCCCCAAGGCCCTAGCCTACACTCAGGTCAGATGCTGTGTGGGCCAGAGGGGTGGAGCCCTGACAAAGGAGGGGACCCTGGGGGGTTTTAGGCCATAAATACTGATTCCATTTCTGTTTCTTAAATCTGGATTTAGGCCAAAAGCCTCCTTCCTGCATGTAATGCTAAAACCCACAACAGTTAAATATACCTGTCTGTCTACTTCCCTCAAGAACCTGACTTGGTATCTCCTAGAGCCACCCACCTGCCTCTTTCATACTCAGTATCTGGCCCCTCCAGAAGTACAATCCCCTGCCCACCCCAGACCTGGGCCAGTTCTGTCCCGGAAGGCGTGCTGCCCTCTTCACTTTCCCCTTCCTCTCCCCCTTCACGTGAACTACCACGGGCCTGGCTTCACTTAACCTCACAGACATCTGGGAGAGGCATGCCAAATTTAACAAATAAAATGCAGAATACTCCCAATTAAATCTGAACTTGAGATAAACAATGAGCAGATTTTTTTCTTTTTTAATATAGTATGTCCCAATACTCATGTTTGGGACCTACTTATGCTAAAATATTATTTGTTGTTCACATGAAGTTAAAATTAACCAAGCTTCCTGTGTTTTATCTGGCACCTCTAGTCTGGGAGAATAACGCAAGACAGTAAGAGGAGGTTAGCCTGTACACCTATTCAGCTAAAAGGGAAATGTAGGCTGCATCTAAAGGCAGACATGGTCGCTGCAAAAGCAAAGGCGTGAACTTGAGAGTCAGACTGGGTTAGAATCCCCAATCTGCATCTCAAAATGGGGACCTTGGAGCAAGGGATTTCTCAGTTTTCTCATCTGTCAGATGTAAGTAATCACAGACCTGCTTTGCAGAGCTGGTTAAGAGGATGAATTGATGTGAGGCCTAGCATGCACCCAGGACAGAACATAGGTATGATTTGAAAATTATTGTTCTGATTTTACTGGGTTCTCTCCCAGCCCTCCACACGTGCTGCAGGCCAGACAGAGGATTTCACTGCACTAAGTAAGCCCAGGGTCTAACGCCCTGACAGCCTTCATAGGAAGCCCAAGATGTGCTGCTCCTAAAACTAGTCCTTATGAACAGGCATTATTCTCAATCTGCCTTTTATGGGTCAAACAAGATAAGAGGTAATCAATTTTGGCCACTACCTATTGTGCCTTACTCTGTCATCCCCATGCTAAGGCCTTGCATTGGGCCCTCACAATACCAGCAAGATCTGTTCTAGTTCTCATGTGATAGTCACTGAAAGTGAAGCCCAGAGGGGCTTAGCACCTTCCTTGAGGACTCATGGCTAAGTGTGGGTGCTGAGATTTGAATCCAGGTTGGTCTGCCTCCAAAGCTTGTGCTCTTAAGTACTAACATCATTCTGTTTTTCTGTTTGCCCTACTCAGGACCCTTCTGACTGTTCAGGGACAAAAACCACTGGCTGAATCTCTGTTGCATGTGAAGTTCTGTTAGCCTTCTAGGAATATCAAAATCCTGCTCTGGAGGTGGGGCAACAACAAAGGGAAGGGGTCTCACATATCCAAATGTGTTCTCTGTGCTGGGAGTATCCACACCCACAACCATGGAGGGAAGGGCCTGTACGTCACAGGTCCAGAACTTTGTGCTTTGTGTTATCATCTCATTTAATCCTCACAACAACCCTTTGAGGCCACTGTCTCCATTTTCTTGGCTTAAGAAGCTGAGATTTATCGAGATTAAGCAAAATGATCAAATTCACAAAGATAATAAATGACAGAAGTAGGATCCGACCCATGTGGTCCCATTCTGGAGCTGGACTCTTAACGTCACTCCCTCTATTCCCTCAATAAATCTTTCCTTTCTCACTCTTTTCTAGGCATCCCAGGAAGTCTTAACCTGTTTCTCAACCTGGGTTTTTGTCCAGGAATTATGAGTCCTCTCAGGGACTCCGAGAAAGATCCAGAGAAACCATGCAGGTTGATAGCCAGTCTTAAGGCAGATGGCTGTGGGATTCCCCCCAGAACCCCAGGTCCCCCATCCCCACACACACAGTGGCACAACTTACCACTGGCAGAGGCCAAGATCATGGCTTGAAGCATCTCTGTGTCAAACTGGTTGTTGGGCCAAGTGCCGGTTTCATCGCCATTTTGGGAGCTGAGGAGAGAGTGGGATGGTGAATACAGTCTCCCAGGCCAGCCTAGCTCACGCCTCTCCCGTCCTCTCCTAGAGCTCCCAGATCTAGTAACCTATATCTCCATCCCATGCCCAAAGATGGCCTGTAGGATTATAACATATAATGTTTGCAAATACTTTGAAAAAATCCCTTTGCCTAGCATACTTGCTTGCCTTGCACCATCTATAGAAATCAAACCTTTTCTGAGGCACTTCCCTAATTCCTCAAGCTCCCTCTCACAGCAAATCTGGTGTTCCCTAGACTGCCAGTTCCCAACTTCTACCTTGCTAAGATGAATAAAATTTGTCAGAGGGATTTCTAAGCAACTCCCCCCAGCCCAGCCCAGGTGCCTCCCCCAGGCAGCTCAGGTCGCATGGCTCCTGCTGCTATACCTGTCTACACTGTCTGTAGAAGAAGGTGTCTGCACCCCTCCTGCTGAAGCACCTAATTAAAACCTTTGGACACTCTAAGCATTGAGAAAAACACGAAGTGATTGATGATTGTTAAAAACACTAACTTATAAATGACCTGAAGAAATTGCAGCTCAACTCAGATTTTTCCCACAGTGAGTATTTCCATGTTTTTTGGAATTCTGAAATATCATATTATTTCTGTTTTTGAGGGAAGCAAGAGCCACCCTGACACACACACCATTAGGTGACCCTTGGCACCACCTGGAACACCAAAGTTCCTCAATAAGTATTTCTTGCTTGAATGAATGGGGGGGAAAACGCACGAAGAGAGTGAGGTTACCATAGGGAAGGATCTGGCACCAGGGTAAGGGCTGCAGGGCAGGCCTTGGAAGCATGAGAGGGAGACAGAGCAAGAGCATGATCATGTTGGTGTATTCTGTCATGGTGGGTGAGCACAGCCAAGAAATGCTTTACAATTTTTCCAAGTTCTGTCCCTGCTTACGGTTTCCCCTGATCTGGGATTCTCCATCCTCAGGTAGGTGGACTTAGTCTAAGGCTTGGCCAGAGTGCAGCTGCTCTATGTGTCCTCTATACCCTCACATCAGACAGTTAGGGTTGAAGGGAAAGTAGGAGCCTCATTTCTCTCTCAGAGTGACAACAGGTGGAATTCTGTGTCCATTTATTCAACCAACATTTACTGACCAATTACTGTGTGCCAGACACTGGGCAAGATACTGGGGTTATAGTTGTGAACATGACTGACATAGTCTCTGTGATGCTCATGGTCTATATACTGAGAGGCTGACATTAAATAATCACACAATTATTTAATGGTAACTGTGACAAGTGCCATGGGGGCAAAGAGCAGGGTGTATAAGGGAGTCTTGATTTAGTATGGGCTAGGGAGCTCAATCAGTCCAAGCTTCCCTGAGGAAAAGGGAAATTAGAAGACAGGGAATTCACATCTGAATAAATTTCCAGGTAATCTGTAGGACAATTCCATCTAAACAAAGGTAGGAGGAATGACAGAAAATCACCACCTCGTAACCACCAATCACTGGTGAATATTAAAACTGAAAGGTTGCTGCACAGTCTCAAATATCACGCACAGAGTACTTATTAATCACAAATATTTTAAAATATATTTGTAATGGAGAGATCTGAAGATACCACTTTAACTAAGTGAACAAAGTGAGTATCCCTGATAGCTGAACAAAATGACATGAAATGATTCCTGACGTAATGGAGGTGTACAATGTCACCCAGTCAGTATTCCTACCAAAATGGTTGTTAACCTGATTTCACTGTGAGAAAATGATAAGCAAATCCAGATCATGGGACATTTTATTTATTTGTGTTTATTTTTGAGACAGAGGGAGAGAGGGACAGATAGATAGAGGGGGACAGAGGATTCAAAGCGGGTTTGGTGCTGACACCATGAGTTCATGACCTGAGTTGAAGTCAGATGCTAAACCAGCTGAGCTACCCAGGAGCCCCAGATTGTGGGACATTTTAAAAGACAACTGGCTTGGACTCTAAAAAATGTCCATGTCATTAAAACAGACAGACAAAAAAGTAAGGAGACTGTTCTACATTAAAGGAGACGAAAGCAATAGGGCAAGCAAAGGTAATTCATGCTCCTTGATTGAATCCCAAATTGAAAAAAAAAAAAAAAAAAAAAAAAAAAAAACAAAAAAAAAAACATCAGGGGTGCCTGACTGGCTCAGTTGGTAGACCATGCAACTCTTGATATTAGGATCATGAGTTCAAGCCCCACATTGGGTATAGAGCTTGCTTTAAAAAAAAAAAATACCAAACAAATTAAAAGGACATTTGGAGAACACTTATTAAAATCTGCCAGTGGACTACATGTTATTACACTACTGTTAAATTTCCCAAACGTGATCATTCTTGTATGGTTTGTATGAGAATGTTACTGTTATTAGGAGGTGTATACTAAAGTTTTTCAAACACTACAATGTCTGCAACTCTCATATATTCAGAAAAAAAAAGTGTAGTATGTGTGTGGAAAGAGAGAGAGAGAGAGAGAAAAAATGCAAAATACAAACAACTGATTAATCTAGGTAAAAACAGTGTGTCTGAGTTCATCACACTATTTCGACAAGTGAACTTTTTGACAAGCTTGAAACATCTCAAAGTAAAATGTTGAGAAGTAAAATGAAGTATCTAGGAGAAAGTAGTGTTGTGGGAGAGAGCTTTCCAGGCAGAGTGAGGAACGTGCCCCAGGCCTCTGAGGCTGGGAAATGCTTGGCCAGTTCAGTGGACTAAGGGCAGCCAGTGTGGCTATCCCAAGGGGAGATGGTGTCAGGGGCTGAGGTTGTAAAATGGACACTAAAAACTTTGGTCTCATTCTAAGAGCTCTGAGAAGTCACTGAGGTGTTTAAAGGGAGGGGGGTGTCATGATTGGATTTAAGAATTTAAAGACTGCTTTTGCTCCTGGGAGAGGACTAAGGGTGAAGGGTCCCTCTAGGAGGACAGGAGCCCAGTGCTGCGGCCTCAGCCACCTCTGTCTCCGTGGGAATCCAGGGGTCTTTACTTGCCGTCCTGCTGTCACTGGACGTTCTGGAAGGCAGAGGCCTCAGGCAGATGGGCTCATGCCTAGAGGAGAAGCCCAACTGGGATAGAGTGGGGAGAACAGTTGTCACGGAGGGGAAGCAGAGAGAAGGGCTCCAGGGGAGACAAGAGGGTCAGATACCTGGTTAGGGGGATGCCCAGTGGAGACTGGGGAGTGGTGCTGAGGGAACAGAGGTGAGTGGAGGGGTAGGCCTGGAACCATAATGGGCTGGGCTATAAGGAGGATTCTTGGGCAATGGTTGAAGGCTGCAGGCTAAATGGATGGGCAGGTTGCCAGATCTTTGACTTCTTTCTGAACAATCTGCTGAGAGCTTCCTATTCTCTGGAAGAGAATATATTTATGTTCTTCCTATATATATATATATATGTGTGTGTGTGTGTGTGTGTGTGTGTGTATAGACAAATTAAGCCTCAGAACCACCTGCAGGTAAGTGTTATTATGATTATCCCTATTTTTCAGTAGATGAATCCAGGGCTCAGAGAGGTTAAGAGACTCCCAAATTCTCACAGCCAATAACTGGCAGAGCTACGTCCTGAAAGAGGCCTAATGTGAATCTGAAGCCTATGTTCTTATACATGACACCACACTGGACTTCAGCAGAGAGGCAGCAGTGGGGATAGGAGACTCTTCCAGGATTTAGGAGATGTTGAACAATAAAAGTAGAGGGGATTGACTATCTCTAATTCACCATTTTCCAAGCATCCACTATGTGTCAGTGACTATGGTAAACCCTGAGATATAAAAGCTGATAGACAGAGTTTTGCCGTAAGGAGTTTGTATTCTGGTGCACTGGATGGGTGTGTGAGGGAACGTCCCAAAAGATGGGCTATGGAAAAATGCTCCCTGCAGCATGATCAAAAAAAAAAAAAAGAAAAGTCTGGGAAAGTCACCTCTAACAACAGCCTGGATTTAACTATGTTAAAATATAAACACGTATGAATTTTTTTAAGGTAGTAAAAGCCTGTCAGCCTTTTAAAATATACATTATATGTCCATATAAGAGGCTGTTATGCAACAATTAACTTTGAATTTGTTTTTGTTTTTTTTTTTTACTGACATGGGAAAATTGTGATATACTGCAAAGAGAAGAGACACAGGTGGATCTTCTGTTCCAGCTCTCTCTGCCCTGCCCCAACTCACACTCGTGCTCTCTCAAAATAAACAAACATTAAGAAAATAATATAATAAAATACACATGTGAAAATATTAAAGAGCTTAAGAGATTTGAAACACTCAAATACAAAATGTGGGTCTTAATTTGGATAAGCGTGCAAATGAATTACCAGAGAGAGACACATAACGGGAAGTGTCAATACAGACTAGATATTTGATGATACTAGTTTATTAATATTATATTACTTAGTATTAACATATTTTTAGTTTATTGATATTATTGTTAATGCTTCTGTATGTAAAAGAATTGTCTAAGACCGTGAAGAGTCAGATGACATTATATGATGGCTGAGATTTGTTTCACAGTAATTCAAGGGGGAAACAGGGTGGACACTGAAGTGAAACAATGTAAGGCATTAGGTGAAGCTGGACGGTGGAATCATAGAGGTTCATTATACCGTTCTAGTTTTGTACAAATTTGAAAATTTCATATTCAAAAAATTTTAATGGGGGTTTCTCTGGGTTGTGAAATTTGAGTTCTTTTTCTTTTAAAAATTTTTCTCTATTTCCCCATGCTTCTACAATGAGCATGTATTATTTTATAAGCAAAAAAAAAAACCCAAAACTAAGTTGCTATTTGTCTGCTGAATGGCTGCCTCAACTGACGGAGAGCAGGGATAGTGTTTCTCAGAGGAGGGGGATGGAAGGGTAGTGTGGAGCCATCAAAGGAGAACAGAGTGGAGACCAGGACAAGCTAAATGGAGACTCTCACTGTGCAGAGACTGGGAACAGCTGCAGGGTGGAGCCTGTGTTACTGTGTGAGAAGGGACAAGTGGCTTGCTGGGTTCAGAGCTTGAGATAACAGCTGTTGAGATAAGAAGCCAAAAAGATGACTCGAGACAGGACAGAGGCTGGAAGGAGGAGCACCTGGCAGGCAGGGACTTCAGAACATGTCTTTCCCCCTTTTGTCTGGGCAATGTGACCCAGTGCTGACTTGAACTTGAACTAGGTTCACCTCAACACTAACCCTGCTGTGAACATGGTGTGCCAGAAGCCAAGATGGTGCAGTGGAGGGGAGTGGAGCAGAGAAGCAATGGAGGGCTGGAGCCAGAGTTGGACTAGATAAATCTCCTTTCTTCATCCTTCCACTCAGATTTACTCATCATAACAGCAGCAAAGACAAAGTACCCTGTCAGTCTGTTGATCTTGAGAGACCTTACCACAAGGCCTGTGTGGAGGCTCTTCCCTCTCTCCTTGAGCTGGTTAATTTGAAACCCTTCAGATTTCAGCACAATCTCCTTTCCTCCTAAAGGTCCTCTTGCTCCCTTACCAGGGCAAATCCCTACTGTAGGCCCTCACCACCAGGTAGTGCACTTTATAGCACTTACAATAGCTGTGATCTTACATTTACTTTGGTATTTAGTTAATATTTGCTTTACTCAACGCATGGTAAGCTCCTTGTGGGCAGGGAGCAGGCCTATTTTGTCATCTCCTACCCCTAAAACACCACCTGGCCTACAGTAGGTGCTTACTAACTGTGGAATAAATGAAGGAGAAAAGGTATAGTTGTTGGATTGGGCCCTTAATGTTTATTTCACCTGGGCCATTTTGGAACTACATCAGAAATGTTTGTCCATCCCCCTCAACTAAGGAAGGGAATCTTCCCTTACATCTCCCCAAGAGCTCCTATATTTCAGGCCACCAAGTCTTTCATTTGATGACAAGGGACTTGAGGCAGGGGTACGGTGCTCAACCCAGAGGGGACAACAGAAGCAATCTGTGGGACTTCTAGGTTCAGCACTGAATTCTGCTTCAGGGCCAGTATACAGTCTGCAGCAGAGATGGGTAAAGGGGACACAATTTGCCCAGTACCTCTCATCACCTCAGCTCAAATGTCACTTCTTCTTGGAGGCTTTCTCTACCCTTCCCCCCACGATTACACTCATATGACCCTCTTTTTCTGAGAACTTGCTATGATTTCTAACTAGACATTTTTTAGTGCAATTTGTTGTCAATTTGTTGTCTCACCTGCTATCCTGGAAGTCTATGAGCTCAAAGATCATGTCTGCTTGTTCATTCTTAGAGGACAGTGCTTAGAACATGGCCTGGTTCATAGTAGATGCCCAATAAGTAGGTGATGCATGAATGAATACATGAATAAACATATGAATGACCTAATGGATAAGCTATACAGAAAGGCTGGCAAGGCCACTGGATTAAAAGGAGACAGATGGGGTCAAGGGAGGGGCAAAGACAGTCCAAACCAACTGTTTTTCTGCCTTCTAAAGGCCTTCTAGGAAGCATCTTGAGTTCCTGATACATGTGCAGGACTGCACATGCCAAGGAGGTGGAGTCTCTACCTCCCTGGCATGTGCTGAGGTCTCCTGGATTCTTGTGGCAGTGAACACTCACCAACTATAACATGTGGGAAAATGTGGGCAGCAAGTGCCTGACCATCAAGGAGGCAGAGGAAGGTGACCTAAGTTCTGCCCTCTCTCTCTCCTGGGTTCCTTGGACTCCTCTAGGCTCCTGACTTCTAACAGGGAGAACTGGCCCAAAGCCCACCCCACTTCCCTCAGACCAACTAAAGATCTTCCTGCTTTTTCCTTCCCCACCAACTGCAGGAGGTTCCTGTCTCAGCAGGAATTCATACTCAACTGAAATGAACAGCTGGGATAGCCTGGATAGAGGAGTATGTGGTGGTGAGCACTGATCAAAGACTCTGTATGTGAGGGACAGGGGCAGAGAGAGAGTTGTGGGCGGGAGGTGAGGGGATGTGTGTGCTGGCTTGCCCACAAGTACAAAAAAATGAGAGACAGAGACAAAGAGTAGGAGACAGGATAAAAGGGAAACAGAGAGAAACAAAGAGTAACAGGAAGAGATTCAGCAATGCAGACACAGACTACACACTTGGAGATACAGAAACAGACACAGACAAAGACAAGGAAAAAGACATAGGCTGAGAACAAAGAGGAAAGCAGAAATATCAAGAGGTTGAGAAACCAAGAGACTAGAGACAGAGGAACATGAGGACACTAGGAAAGAGGAAAAGAAAAGAGTTCAAGGAAAGAGACTGGGAGGCAGAAACAGACAGAAAAGAAACAGAGACTGAGACTAAGGAAGAGTCATATTTATTCATTAATTCCATATTTATTGAGCACCCAGCATGGCAGGTGCAGCGCAAGGCACAGATCAGGGCAAGTAGACACAAACGGCAGGGACCAAGATGCAGCAATAAAGACAGAAACTAAGAGACAGAAAGAGAGTGAGAGGCAAAGACCACAAACTGAGATAAGAGACTGAGGGAAGGCCAAAGCAGTAAGAAAGAGTGGCAGAGAAAAAGGCCTGGAGGTAGAGAGGGCAGGACCAGTTTCGGGACCTAGGCAGCCTGGAGTGGGGCGGGAGGAGACCTGTCCCAGGAGCTCCCTCCTCAGCCCAGCCTCCAGCAGTGCAGTCTCCACTTCCAACAGCTGACCCACCTCCCCCACCTCTCCTGGGCTCTTCCCCGTGGACTCTGGAGGAGGTTCTGACTGCCGACTGTGCCTCCCCCGTCTCCCGTCCCCTGGTTCTCTGCCTGAACCCCAGCCCAACCTGGAACAGGGGGACTTAGGAATTAGATGGGTTCCACCCAGAGACCACCTCAGGACCAGGAGATAGGAAAAGATTCACCTGGTGAGAAGGGAGGGGCTGAGGTGTGAAATGAGCTTTCAAAATAGAGTAGAAGCCTTTTCCTTCTGGGCTCTGTGTACCAGCCCCCAATACACCAAAGCCTCCCTGAAATCCGGAACTGAGGGAAGAAGCCATTTGTAGCAAATGCTGAGCCCTCCCCCACCTCCTCCCACGTCATCACTGAGAAAATGCCGCAGAGAAGAGGGTGGGCTGGAGAAGCAGTCACCTACCCGCTGGTGCCAGGTCTCTGGGCCTGAGAGAATCGCCAGTCCGTGTTGGGCGGGGCTTGCTGTGGAGAAAACAGAGGGAAAGGGGCTGAGTACTCACAAAAAGAATGTCACCACAGTCTGGGGATGGGCAAGGAAGGAAAGAGGGGAATGGACACAGAGAAAGAGGAGGGAGGGAAAGACTAATCTCCAAAGACAAACCGAACCCCAGGTCTCAGAGGTCTGAGGCAGAGAGAAAATAACACCTATCTGAACATAGTGAGCAAACCCAGATTCCTCTGCTGAAGAAATAGCCCATTCCTCCCTGCCCACAGACTCAGAAATTCGGAGCTGAGATTCAAGGGCTGAAAGTGTCTCCTGTGGAACCAGGGGTGCAGAAAAGGCCCTCAAAAGTGGCAGAGGAGATTTTAGATGAGAATTTCACCAGCCTCTAGAAAGAATTTATTTAGCTCCTCAGCTGGGAACAAAAGCATCCTTGCAGCAAGATGGCTGCTGCTCCGGGTAACCCTTTTTGCGCCAGGTTGTGCTGTAGTATATTCAGAGGGACGCCTCCTCCAGGCCTTTGACTCTCAAGAATACCTTCCCACAGCTAAACACATTATTAACTTAGGAGTCATGCCAGACTGATCCTTTGCAGGGCATCCAAGCCCCAAGACACCCCTCACCCCCAGAACTCTGCCAGACAATGGCTCTGACTAAGGAGGAGAGAACAAGGCTGCTCTGTCTGGGACAGAGAAAACTGCTGGGATGGAGCCCAGCAGAGACCTAGCTCCCACAGCCTCCAAAGCCTCTAAGGAGAGCCAGCTAAGTCTCCAGGGCTCCTAAGGGGCTGATCTGTAGCTATGTCCCACCTGGGTGAAGGTGTGGGACTTTGGCCGGCCACTTCACTCCTGAGTCCCTTCCACCCTTTCGGAGGGTGTATTATCCCATCACATATGGAGCACTCCTAGAGCCATCTCCTTACCCCTTCTGGGCTGTGCTGATAAGAGACTCTCGCTCTCACTCCCAGAAGCAGAGGAGAAGTGTGAGCATCTCTGATTACACAGGGGAGAAGACAGACCCAAGTCTGTCAAGTATCTCACTCTAAGGCCCACAGGTGTCAGTGATATGAGCAGAACTCAGAAAGTTAGCATCCCAGGTACAACACAAGTCACCAGCACCAGTCCAGATCACCAGCCTGGGGAAAGGCAATGGGATGCCTACTCATCAGCCACTGTATTCTTAGACACAGGACAATCTATGTATGATCCATGCAAGAACCATGAATCATGCAAGAACCATGACAGACTGGAGGAGAGTTGCTGGGCAAAACTCACAACTTACACAAAGATGGCGGGTCCAAAGTGTGTTCAGTGAGGGCTATTCAGGAACAAGGAGCCCCAGAAGACTTTTCTCTAACATATAAAGCCCTAAAAGGGAAAGAATCCCATCTATGCCCCATCCAAGCAGATGCAAACTGCCCTCCCATCTTCCAGCTTTGTGAAAGCACAAATTCTGGAATTAGACCCAAGTTAGATCTTTCTCTACCACTTACCCAGTGAACTTGCATGTCACCTGACCTCTGTGAAATTCAGTTACAAGGTGGGGAAGCTAGTATCTACCCAACAAAATTCTTGGGAAGAACAAGTGAAGAACATGGTACTCCAAGGAGGTAGTGCAGGAAGGCTCTTTCAATCAGCTATCACATGGGGGTATTGTTTCAAACTCTAATTCTGATTCATCAAGCGCAGGGTGGGGCATGAGTATATTTTGAATAAAAGCTCCTGAGTTTGTGGAAACTTGTGCCTTTTTACTATCATAGTTTCCCCACTGATGAGGGCACCCCAGCATCTGGCAGAGGCTGTGGCTTTCCCTCAGCTGAAGGAAGGATTGACAGAGTCTCACATACTTTGGTCACCCCCAAAGCCCTGACCCTAGATCACAGGAACCACATCAAGGTCACAACGGAGCCAAAAGCCTATCTCTGAGTGTCCAGGGTCCAGGTGCTTCATGTCCCCACTTCCTGTGATAGGACAGGCAGTGACTGTCACTGAGGTCCCAGGCTGCCTATCCTACCCTTGGCCCACAGGGTAGCTCAGCCAGACCCAGAGGTTTCTGGGCTGGAGGCACACCGCTGCCCTCTGCTTGGAGCCCCAATACTATGGGGTGGCCCACGCCAGAGTTAAAAACTCTTGCCCAGAGGTGACCTGATCTAGTCCCAGGTAGAAGCAGGAAAAGGTTCCTGGGTCCTTGCAGGCCCTGGGAAACTGTGCCATGGGATCCTCACCAGGGTGTGATCAGTCAGCAGTGAGCACCACTGAGGCCAGCAGCCAGGTGGTTGGGAAGCTATGAGGGGCCCAGGAACAGCCAGTGCATGTGAACTTGGCAGCAAGCGCTGGCAGTAAAAGGTGGTGTGTGTGTGTAAGCCCAAGTGCAGGTGTGTGGGCGTGTGTGTGTCTGTGAGCATGCAGATGAGATGAGACAATACTGTTGCTGCATGTGGCCAGTGGGTGTGTTCTGCAAGGAGGACATGCATGAAGCCTGGATGTACAATGATCCTGTCTACAGGTGCATTTGTTTGACGGAGGAATAAGGAAGGTTGAGATTAACAGTGAAGTCACAGATCAAGGGACTGGAAGAGGAAACTTAAAGACTGGCATAGCAAGCTGGCTGGCTTGGGAGTCAAGGAGGCTGGATGCAGGCATAGATCCATGACTGCCTCCACCAAGGACCACCCTCTGCTCCCCAACCCTAGCCGTAAAGACTGCTGGGCCCCACCCTTTTCTGAGGGAGGGCAGCAGGGACTGGTCTTACTTCCCCTCACCTATAATCACCACCACCTCCTGGTGCTCAGAGTCCTATCCCCACATTGGCATTCCACACAATCAGTCCAAATGGTCCCAACAATCAGGTGGAGTGCAGGCAACACTGAGCTCCATCCTCCACTCCCACACCCCCAACCCCTCCCGAGAGGAATGGACATAAATTCAAAGTCCCTTTTGTGGATGGGCTGCTTCTCCATTGCAGGCCACAGGGGTTGTCCTGGGCAGTGTCGAGCCCCTCACCTGGCTCCGCTCCCGCAGCGTATTAGAGCGGGACCGGAAGGCATCAGGCTCCAGCACCAGCGCTGAGGGCTGCTGGACACTGAGGGGCCTTAGAAAAGTGAAGTCACTGCCATCCGAGGCTGGTGAAAAGCACGTCCTGTAGCAGTGGCTCTGTGAGTCTGTGGGCCGCAGTGTCACCTCCATGTACTTGAGTGTGCCGTCTGAGCTCACCTGCAGGTTGGGACTGGACTGCTTATAGAAGTCCCGAGAGGTCGAGTCCTGGTGCCTGCAGCACTGGCCCCCACCCCCATCCTCATCTGTGTGCCCCCGAAGGCATTTAGCTGACAGAAAGGTGAAGGTGACTAAGGATAAGAGACTGATGGCTGCAAGAGCCACAATGAGGTAAAGGGTAAGGTCTGAACGCTCAGGAGGGAGTGTGAGGAAATCGTTGGATTTGGGCATTTCCTCAGGGTCCTCATCCTCCAGAACCAGCAACACTGTGGCTGTAGAGGAGAGAGAAGGGTCACCATTGTCCCTCACCAGGACCACAACCTGCTGGGTGTTAGAGTCATCCTCCCGTAAGGCCCGGGCTGTGCGCACCTCCCCAGTATGTGCAGACACCAGGAACAGTCCTGGAGCTGTAGACTGTGGCAACAGTGAATAGGAGAGCCATGCATTGTGGCCAGCATCAGCATCCACAGCTGTCACTTTGGTGACCAAGGAGCCAGGAGGAGCAGAGCGAGGGAGACGTTGGGGGACTGAGAGTTCCCAGCCGGGTCTTGGGTGCAGCACCGCTGGTGCATTATCATTCTGATCCAGGACAAACACATGCAGAGATGTGTTCGAGTGCAATGGGGGAGAGCCAGAGTCTCGCACACCCACCATGATGTGCATCATTTGCAACAATTCGTAGTCAAAGGTGCGCTGGGCAAAGACCCGCCCATCCTCAGGGTTGACATATACAAAGGAGGAAGCTGGGGCTCCCTGAATCTGATTCCCTACAATGGAGTAGGTGAGATGGGCATTATCCCCAGTGTCTGGGTCTGAGGCAGCCACAGTGCAAAGAAGGGAACCTGGAGGCCGGTTTTCAGGGATGTAAGCAGTATAGAGCTGTTGAGAAAAGTAGGGTGCATTGTCATTAACATCTGAAATGTTGAGCCGGATGGTGAGATGTGCATGCAGGGGAGGTGAGCCTGCATCACTAGCAAGTAGCTCAATGACATAGTGGGATGTGGTCTCCCGGTCCAAAGGCTGGCTGGTTAGCAGTGAGTAGTGGTTCTCAGAAGGCTTAATCTGAAATGGCAGGTCCGGGGAGATATCAAGGCTCACTTCACCATTTCTCCCCGAGTCTCGGTCCCGCACATTAAACAAGCCCACTACTGTGCCCACTGGTGTGCTCTCCAGGATAGGGTTGACCAGAGAGGCTAGCAGTACCTCTGGGGCGTTGTCATTGGCATCTTCCACATCCACCTGAATCATGCAGTGGCCTTCCATAGCTGGCTGTCCCTGGTCACGGGCTCTTGCATGAATTTCATAGAAACTTGACTCCTCAAAGTCTATGGGACCCAACACATGGATTGCTCCACTGCTAGGGTCTAGGCCAAAGATGTTACGCACCACTTCTGATGTATGGTCTCCAAAAGAATAGTCTAGTTGGCCATTGGTGCCCTCGTCTGGATCAGTGGCATTGAGGTGGAGCAGCAGTGTACCCATGGGTGCATTTTCTGGGAGCCCCACACGTAGAACTGAGGACTGGAAAGTCGGAGCATTATCATTAATATCCAGTACAATGACAGAGATAAGGGTCGTCCCTGAGTGGGCTGGGATACCCCCATCCACAGCAGTAAGCACCAGCTGATGTCTTGCCTGGGCTTCACGGTCCAGCTGCTGCTCCAGCACCAGCTCTGGGAATAGCTTCCCGTCTTTTAGGGTCTTCACATTCAGAAAGAAATGGCTGCTGGGGCTTAGAGTGTAGAAGCTCACAGTATTGGTGCCCACGTCCGGATCCTGGGCACTATCCAGTGGGAATCGGGCCCCAAGTGCAGCTGATTCTGAGATGCGTATCTCTCGCTCAGAGGCGGCAAAGCCAGGAGAGTTGTCATTGAGATCCAGGATCTCTACCTCTACACGGATTAGTTCCAGGGGGTGTTCAGTCACCACCTGTATTGGCAGCAGGCAGCTTGTACTGGCTCCACATAGGCTCTCTCGGTCAATCTTTTGATTCACTACCAGAGCACCACTCATCAAGCTCAGGGAAAAAAAGTGTCCATTCTCCTCAGACCCCAACCGCAGTCGGCGGCTCAACAGATCTGTCACCTTTAAGCCTAGATCCTGAGCAACATTCCCCACCAGCGTCCCCGGCTCAGACTCCTCCACCACTGAGTAACGAAGCTGCCCGGACACCCAGCCCCAGCAGCACAACGACAACATGCACAGCACTTGCCATTTCCCAGCGAGCTGTGGGGGTGTCTTGGGCCCCATGACCCAGAGGTCCCTTCCTGGACACTGACTCTGTGCTGTCCTGTCTCCAAGGCAGACTCAGGTCTTGGAATGTAGCAGCTGAAATCTCTTATGTCTCCTTCCAGCCTCTTAAAAACTGCTCCGAGGTCTGTCTGCCTGCAGCAGTTCTTCTTAGTCACCAAATGGCGGGGGTGGGTGGGGGGGGAGGGGAACTGAATCTGAGTGGAGCTGGGGAACAGGAGGAGGAGAGGTGGGCAGGAAGAGCAGATCCCCCACCTCTGCTCTGAGTCTGATTGGCCAAAAAGTCTGTCTGCTCTCAACCAATTATGAAGTCCCCTCAGTCCTGGAAACCTTAGGAACAGGCAAATCTGTGTCAATGAAGCCTCCTACCTCCCCACTCATTTCATGCTGCAGGTTGATTCAGCCCCCTTGGCAGCAAAGTTTGACAGCTCAGATGGTTCTCAACAGGGAAGACAAAGTGGTACAAAACTTCTCAGTGTTCTGTCCCAGCAACTTCCCTCAGGACGTTAGAAGTTTCCACTACTTTGTTAAACCAACAAAATTTTGTCCTTCCAGGGGAGGCAAAGCCATGTGAACCCCCCCCCCCACCCACGCCATTCTGCCAAACATGGCTGAGGTGAGAGAAACCATTTGTTAGGATCCTGTAAAGCCTTGCTCTGACTCTCCATCAATGCTTTGAGGAATCTCAATGTCAGCTGATGGTTACAGGATTCAGCTTTTATGAGATCCCCGACTTGAGCTATGGAATGAGCATAACAGCTTTTAGTAGGGGGAACATTCCTGGAACTGATCCAGTTCACCCAGGAGAGTGAGTAGAAACCAGGCGTTGTCTCTAGAATTTATGGTTGCACCAATTCAAAAGTCTACTTAAAGACTTCCAGAGTGGCTGCCTCTGAGTTCCTCAGCTGTAAACCAGTTTTCTGACATGAAGTGATTTTACTCACATGTTGCTTCCCCCCCCCCCCAAAGAAGTAATGCTCCCCTGCCCCCAATTCTTTTGCATCTAGCTCAAATCTCAGTGGGAACCTGAATGGGATTCCTGAAGACTTGGACTAAAGATCTCTGCTTGCATCCTGATGCCTCCCTACTTCCCCTTCAGCTCTCCCCTCTTTGTGCTCTCTGCTGTTTCAAGCAGCGAGTTCTCTCTATAGTGGGTTAGGAGGTACTTAATATTGTGGGGCAAATACAGCAGTCACCCTAGATTCATTGGGAAATGGTAACCTAGAGTTAAGGTAGTCCAGAACCTACCCCCCTCATTGAGGAAGAGAAAGAAACCTCTTGGTTTAGGTGACTGCCTGATACACCCTACCCCTGTACAGGATAGCCTTCTATGCTCCCACATTCTGGCACCATGCTTCCACAATACCCTGGCTCTTGATCATTACCTTCATTTCTTACCTTCAGGTACATAATCTACCTCAAGTACTAATCTGTGACAACTTCCTGGTTATTCACAAAATACTTCGAAAGCACACCATCTACAACATAGTTACCACTCACTATGGGCTCTTGCAGAGAGACCAACAGTCCCAGGGACATGACCCAGCCATATGCTTGGATCAGAGTAACTCTCAAGCACTGGCTGAGCCTGCAAAGGTCTCACCTCTAGCCCATACAGAAGATCAGAGGGTGGGCAGCTTGGGCGAACAGGCTCCCCTGCCATAGGTGCACTGGGTGACTTCACCATCATGAAGCTATCGCTCCGAGTGGGTGCAGAAGCCAAGGGTGTACAGCCATGAGAGTGGCCGCCCACATCAACAAACTTGATAGGATCATCTGACCCTAGCTGGATTCGCAGGATCCCATTGGAAGGAGGAAGCCCCTCCCTCCTTCGAGATCGGGTGAGACAGGCACAGGTGCCAGCAGGAAAGCAGGTCACTCCACAGGCAGCCCCACGCAAACACTTAGACAGTAGTGCAACGAATGAGCCAAAGGAGACAAAGCAAATTGCCACTAGTGATACAGCCAAATAGAGGGTCAGGCGGGATTCTCCTTCCCTTGGAGCTGAAGATTCTCGAAGATCAGGGACAACTGGATGAGTATCTTCCTCCAAGGACACCAGTAGAGTAACAGAGGTAGAGAGTGGTGGACTACCACTATCCTTTACTACAATGACCAGCTTCTGTGGTGGGAGATCAGCTGGGATTGGAACTGCCGTCCGAACCTCCCCAGCATAGCGAGAGACAGCAAACAGGCTGGGGTCTGGGGCCTCCAGGAGCTGATAGGAAACCCAAGCATTGTAACCTGAATCCAAGTCCACAGCAGTCACCTTTGTGACTAGATGGCCAGCACCAACTGATGGAGGCAGAGCTTGCGGACATAAAGAACCAGGCCGGGCCCTAGGACGCAGCACAGCTGGGGCATTGTCATTGAGGTCCAGCACAAACAGACGAACCGTCACAGTGCTACTAAGAGGTGGGTTGCCCCGATCCCGGGCCTGCACCTCAAATTGCAATGTCTGTGTTTGTTCATAGTCAAAGGATCGAGTAGCATGAACAGCTCCTGTTTGGGGGTTCAGAGAGATGAAAGAAGAAGCTGACACATCTCGATTTCTGGGCTCCAGGAGAGAGTAGGAGATGAGTGCATTCAAGCCAGAGTCTGGATCAGAGGCTGCAAGGGAACAAAGCAGGTCCCCTGGGCGATTGTTCTCAGGAACAAACACCTCATGTGACCTCTGGAAGAAAGAGGGTGGGTTATCATTCACATCTGAAATATTGAGGAAAATACTCCTCTGGGTACTCAGGGGAGGATTCCCAGCATCGGAAGCAGTGACCATGATGTCATAGCTGGATTTGGCCTCTCGGTCCAAGGGCCCAGAAGTCACCAAGGAGAACTGGTTCCTGAAGGCAGACTTGAGGGCAAATGGCAAGTGGTCAGGAATACGGAGGCTCACGTCTCCATTTGACCCTGAGTCAGGGTCCTGCACACTGATGAGTGCCACTACAGTGCCAGGTTCTGCGCTCTCTGGAAGAGTCCCAAGCTCTGAGGTCACTGTGATGTGGGGGGCATTGTCATTTACATCTAGGAGATCCACCCGAAGGCTGCAATGTTGCTCCATGGCTGGAGAACCCCCATCGCGAGCCCGAATATCAAATTCATAGTAATTCTCACTCTCAAAGTCTAGGGGCCCCTGAAGGGTAAGCTTTCCAGTAGTAGGGTGAAGGCTAAAGAGGTTTCTCACACGATCAGGGGTGTGACCACTGAAAGAAAAGGTGACGTTACCACTGGGACCCAGGTCTGGGTCAGAGGCATTGAGCTGGATGAGCAGCATGCCGGCAGGAGCACTCTCCAACACACTAATCCTGTAGCTGGATTGCTGGAAGGCTGGGGCGTTGTCATTCACGTCCAGCACTGATACCCGGAGCTCTGCAGTGCCAGATCTCGGGGGGTTCCCTCCATCCACAGCAGTCAGCACCAGGCGGTAGTCTGATTGCTTCTCTCGATCCAAAGGCTTTTCCAGGAGCAGCTCTGGGACCAGGCTGCCGTCGCTGCGCTTCTTGACATCCAGTGCAAAGTGTTCATTGGAGCTTAGTCTATAGCTGCTGATAGAATTGCTCCCCACATCTGCATCCTGAGCCTTTTCCAAGGGGAAACGCTGTCCTGGAGGAGCTGCCTCCCCAATTTCCAAGTCTAGCTGCTGCCGAGGAAATCGGGGGGCGTGATCATTCACATCCACAATCTCTACCTCCGCTCGGTACATTTCCAAAGGCCCTTCAGTTACAAACTCCAGGGGCACGATGCAGCTGGCACTGAGTCCACACAGTGCCTCTCGATCAATTGGATTCTTGATGAGCAGGGCTCCACTGTCCAAATCCACACGGAAGTGTCTTTGGTTCACCTCTCCAGCAACCTGCAGCCTACGAGCTGACAGAGTCTCTGTATCCAGCAAGAAATCTTGGGCGACATTCCCTACAAAAGTCCCTTCTTGTGACTCCTCTGGGACCGGGTAGCGGATCTGCCCACAAACGTAACCCAGGTGGCAAATGAGGAACAAAAGGGTGGCCCCCCAGCAGATTTCTACCCAGCTTCCCACCTTGCGGAGCATTGCTGCTTCCTGGTAGTCCTCTACCTGGTCCTGGGAAGCAGAAGAAGCCGACCCGCCCCAAACGGCAACAGCAGCTGGAGACACCTATCTCTCTTCGTGGCGCCAGCTCTGGCGCGGCTGGGCCGGCACCGCAAGGGTTACAGGCCGTTTTTGCTGGTGGCGGGGTAGATTTGTCTGCCTTCCACCACCCGATTGGCAGACAGCAGCTCCTAGGTTCAGCCAATAGGCTGAGCAGAGAACATCCCAATAGCAGCAGGGTTAATGCGTCGCAGCATTGGAGGACAAAAAAAAAAAAACAAAAAAAAAAAAACCCCAAAAAACAAAACAAAACAAAAAACCTATCTTTTTGCCTTCCTCCCACTCAACAGCATTTCCTTCTATAGGTTTATTACCTCTAACGAGAGGCAAACAACATGTATGTATGTTCTTTTTTTCCCCCAAACACACCAACTTCCCCCGCCCCTTTTCGGCGGGGAAAACAGACAGCCAAAGCCCTAGCAACCTGCAGCCCATAGAGGAGTAGCCATTTGAGACTGGTCACTTTGTTCAAGCCAGTGTTGTCATCCACCAATATTTGAAATGGGTAGTTTATGCCTCAGTCTGATTGTATTAGAGCAACAGCGAATTAGAAGCAGTGCCATATATTCAAAACTCTGCCCCTCTGCAGATTATTCAGAAACATATCCATCTCTTTGCAGACAAGACTTACACATTAATGTAACCAATTAAATTTATGCAGTGCACGTTTCTTTTGGAACAGGAGGTGTAGCAGACACAAAATCTCTCTTATTCAGGCACTAGCTAATGATACACTGAATTACCATTCATTGATTTCCAGGACAGTATAGAAGGAGATGAAGCAAGGTGGAGGGAGTCAGGAGAGGGAGATGTTCCAAATCAGTAAAGAATCAGTGTGTATGGGAGGCGCTAAGGACTAGATCTCATTGCTTGGCAGAATGCTAATGTTCACAGATTTAATAGCTTCCTTGAATGACTGAGATCAGCCACTAATAGCACTGTGCCCACAAATCCCCTTTATCTGACACCATGGTATGCTTGATTTGTTGTTAATTACCAACAGAGACAGTTTCAAAAGAGCAAGCTTTTACTTGGCCCCTGGGGGCCTCTTGGAGCTGGAGACTTTATCTCACTCTTCTTCAACCCTGATCTAGACCCTCCCAGGAGCCTGGCTACCACCTTAAACACACACACACAAACACACAGTTGAGAAACACAGATCATCTCACACTGTAGTTACCTGCAAACTATAATCTGAGTGACAAACACACCAGAGCACAAAGAGAAAAAGTCCAGCCTGATGTCAACATAAGATTTCTTAACTCATCTGAAGCCTCACCTAGGTTACCACTGGGTGTGAAAACCGGGAACAAAACCCAGGTTCTAATCCCTCTCCAGATTTTTCCAAACCCTTAAGCCTCAAGAATATCCTTTTGACTATCCTCTTGAGGCCAACAACCTACATTCTGGTCTCAAAGAGAGGGATCTGAATTTGTGTGTGTGTGTGTGTGTGTGTGTGTGTGTGTGTGTGTGTGTGTGTGTTTTAACCAAAAAACAGCTAACTCTCCTCTCATAGGAATGGTGGAAGTATAAATCAGTCTCACCTACCAGGTATTTTGGGCAGGATTCACTATCACAGTGAATGATACCACCATCAACCCAGTACCTCCATCAGAACAGGGGAGGGACAGGCAGAGCCATCCTTGACTCATTTCTCTCCCTGACTCCCTCAATCATGTCAATTAAAAAGTCCTGATGATTATACTATAGTCAACACCTTCCACCTATACTGCCACTGTGGTGGTTCAAGCATTTATCAATCTTCTCCTCAGATATTTTAACAGGCTTCTAACTGTTCTCTTTGTCTCCAGTAGCAATATCCCCAATCTATTTTACTTATGGGTGCCAGGATAATCTCTCTTGAGGACATCATACATAGGGGTTTAAAGTTCTGCAGCGACTATCATGAATACAGAACGAAGCCTAAAAGTAACTCAAGATCTAACTCCTGCCTACTTGCTTCACTTTATCTCTTGCCAAGACTGTTAAACAAACATACTTTAAGGTTCAGCAATAATTAAGTATCATTATTCATATGCATGAAATTTCCTGCAAAGGCCCTTCCTGCCTCCCTTTTCCCTTTACTATTTAATAAACTACTACTTACTGAGAAACTTAACAGAAGACCATGGGGGAGAGGAAGGGGGGAAAAAAAGAGGTTAGAGAGGGAGGGAGCAAAACATGAGAGTCTCTTAAAAACTGAAAATAAGGCGCGCCTAGGTGGCGCAGTCGGTTAAGTGTCCGACTTCAGCCAGGTCATGATCTCGCGGTCCGGGAGTTCGAGCCCCGCGTCAGGCTCTGGGCTGATGGCTCAGAGCCTGGAGCCTATTTCCGATTCTGTGTCTCCCTCTCTCTCTGCCCCTCCCCCGTTCATGCTCTGTCTCTGTCCCAAAAATAAATAAACGTTGAAAAAAAACACAAAAGAAAACAAACTGAAGGTTGATGAGGGATGGGAGGGATGGGAGGGAGGGGAGGGTGGGTGATGGACATTGAGGAGGGCACCTGTTGGGATGAGCACCGGGTGTAGTATGGAAACCAATTTGACAAATTTCGTATTTAAAAAAAAAAAAAAAAAAGAGATTTACCTTTAAAAAAAATTAAAAAAATAAACTACTCCTTAACTTTTACTTCTCAGCTCAATAATCACCACCTCTATAAAATCTTCCCCATTTCCTCAGGCTGGCTTATGGGTTTCTTTCCCTTTGCTCTGATTGCTTCTTGTATTATGCAGATCTTCACCGTCATTTTTTTTTTGCATGTGTTTCCCATGGTACTACTCTATATACCATAATGACAGGAAATGTGTCTTTTCATCTTTTACAGTGTCTGCATATAGGAATACTCACTAAATGGTGAATTACTGATATTATCATTTATTAGTTCAACAAATACTTACTGAATACTTATACTTCACAAGAATATTTTATATTCAGCATGCTTTATATGCACTGCTTTTAACTTACACAACAATTTTGAAAGAAGTCCTCTGTATTTTATAGATGAGGAAACTGGGGTTCAGAGAGGTTAAGAGATGTGTGTGAAGCTAAACAACTAATACATGCAGTACTAGAACTCCCCCCACTCCCATACCTGGTTTGTCTGAGAAAAAAAGACTCTCTATCTTTTTTTTTAAAGCCATTTGTTTTAAATTTCTTTCTGTATTTATTTTTTTTTGAGAGAAAGAGAGTAGGGGGGAGGCAGAGAGAGAGGAAAAGAGAGTGTCCCAAGCAGGCTCAACACTGACAGTCCAGAGCCCAACTCAGGGCTCTGATCCCACAACCCTGGGATCATGACCTGACCCTAAACCAGGAGTCTGATACTTAACTGATTTTGCTACCCAGGCACCCCTCTATAACATCTTAAGTGATTTTTCTACTAGTTTGTAATCTGTATGATCATAAACTAGCCCTTTCCTGATACCTTTCATATTTAAGAACTAGACCTCTTATAGGTCTCCATATTTGCAAGTTCACACCAAAAGAGGCACACCGTCAATTACTAGCACTGGAATATCATAAAGCCTTAATCCCATATCCCTGACTTGATCCTTTTATGCCAGGTTTGTGATTCTCCCATTCTACAGTTTAAAAACAGCTTTAATGAGATACAGTTCACATACTATACAATTCATCCATTTAAAATGCATAATTCAGGGTGCCTGGGTGGCTCAGTAGGTTAAGCATTGGACTTCGGCTCAGATCATGATCTCGCGGTTCTGTGCTGACAGCTTGGAGCCTGGAGCCTGCCTTGGATTCTGTATCTCCCTCTTTCTGCCTGCCCCTCCCTCCCTCTCTCTCAAAAATAATAAACATTAAAAAATAAAATGCACAATTTAATGCTTTTAGTATACGTGAATATACTAAAAGGATACAACCATCACCACAATCTAATTATAGAATCTTTTTGTCACTCCCCAGAGAGGTTCCATACCCACTGTCCAGCTTTTTTTTTTTTTTTTTTTTTTTTTTAATGCTTCTTTTTGAGAGAGAGACACAGACCGTGGCGGGGCCGAGGGGGGGGTGGCGCAGAGAGAGAGGGAGACAGAGAATCCAAAGCAGGCTCCTGGCTCTGAACTGTCAGAACAGAGTCCGACACGAGGCTCAAACCCACGAACCGCAAGATCATGACCTGAGTGGAAGTCAGATGCTTAACTGAGTAAGCCACCCAGGTGCCCCGTGTGCTAGTGGTTTAGGAAGATTGTCTCTTTAGATGACTGAAGGATCCTCTTATGTCTTCCCTATGTTGCTCTTCTAGAGCTATTCTATATCATACATATGTATTTTATTTATTTATTTGAGTATACTTAACACACAATGTTAATTTCAGGTGTACAACAAAGTAATTCAATGAGTTTATAGAGCTATTTTATGTAATATCTTAAGGTTGAGAAATGACAGGATTTTCTAAGTTCAGCCTGGCCCAATAAGCCTGGTTCTTTGAATGCCAGAATAACACTTTGCTTCATAAATATGTTAATTGAAAGACTAGTACATTCTAGGGCAGAAGTTTTCAAACTTGTCTGCACATTAGAATCACTTGGGGACCTTCAAAAAATACTGAGCCCTGTGTCCCAAGAGATTGTGCTTTAATTGGTCTGGGATGTGGCCTGGGCTTCAGAATTTTTAAGGGGTCCCCAGGTAATTCTAGTGTGCAACCAAGTTTGAGAACACTGTTCTAGGGAAAATGCCAGTTGATTCCCAGTCTGACTTCCAGTCTGACAGCTGCTTCTCTCTGGCTTTCATCTTTTCTTAGCCTTTCCATTTATGCCTCTACTTTGTCATTTCTGGCCATCTCCAGATTTTCTTATTTCAAGGTGTGCTTAAGATTTTGGATGGGTAAAGAATAAAAATAACAATAGTAATAGACAAGATTTTTTTTTAACACTTATGATATACCAGGTTCTGAGATTACCTTAGCCAAGA